TCATTCTGCTTATTGTTTTAATGATTTCTTCTTATTCTATAGATTTCCTTTTGCTTCTTCGTTCAGCTTCATTCTTTTATCCATAAGCTTTTTTCTTTTTTCTTTTCCTGATATAATCATCATTGCTGTGAGTATGTTGTCTATTTCGTCGATATCTTTATCATCACTGTCTAATTTTTGGGTAAGTTGTTCTTTTAATAGGTCTTTGTATATCTCTTTATATTGCCCTAGTTTGTTTCTATCTACTAGATTCCAGTTTCTAATTATGTTTCTTTTCATTTCATAGTTACCGTCAATACTAATTGGTGCTCTGATCATCCTGTGATCGCTACCTGTTGTGAATCTGTTAAGAACTGTTACATTTTAAATGATCTATCGTTCCGTGGACAGTACGTAGTCGATCTCATTTTTTGTGGATTCGTTAGGATTGATCCATGTCCATTTTCATTAGGGCTTCTCTTTGTAAAAGGAGTTCATTGCATATAGATGATTTTCTTCTAGGCAGTTCATCAAAGTAGCACCTCTATTCATTTCTCTGAACATAACCGAAATCTCCTCATTTAGTTTCTTCTTTGTTTAGTTTTCTACCCAGTTTGACATTGATATCTCCAATGATAATTGGAGACTCCAATCGTAATGCTTCACGTGCCTAATGATTGATCATCATATGTATATTCCCTTCTTCTTCTTCTTTTTGTGCCACTCCTATCGGAGATTGGAAATCATCAAGGCTATTCTGACCTTGTTTACGGCTGACCTAAAGAGTTCATTAGTGGTGCAGCCAAACCACTCTCTCAAATTCCGCAACCATGACATTCTTCTACGGCCTGGATTCCGTTTTCCTTCTATTTTTCCCTGCATTATATTTTGAAGTAATGCGTATTTATGTCCTCTCATCAGGTGACCAAAATATTCGAGTTTTCTTCGCTTTAGCGTTAACAAAATCTCTGGGTCTTTTCCTATTCTTCGTATTACTTCACAGTTTGTTATTCTTTCAACCCAACTAATCTTCAGCATTCGACGGTAGCACCACATCTCGAAACTTTCAATATTTTTCATGTTGTTCTGTTTGAGAGTCCAGTACCCGTATAATAGCGTGTTAAATACATAGCCTCTCAGCATTCTTAATCGTAGAGGGATGTTTATATTTCTGTTGCAGAAGAATTTTCTCATCTTTATGAAGGTGGCCCTGGCAATTTCGATACGTCTTTTTATTTCACTGTTTTGGTCTCCAGTTTCGTTTATTAAAGTTCCCAAGTATTTGTAACTTGATACTTTTTCAACTTGAGTGCCGTTTATACTAATATACGCTGGTTGTGTCATGTTTTTACTGAAGACCATATACTTGGTTTTTTTAATATTGATATTTCTACCATAATTGTTGCAAGCAATATTTATGTCTGTAAGTAATCTTTTGTAATTCTTCTACTGTTCTTGCAACTAGTACAGTGTCGTCCGCGTATCGAATATTATTTACAATCTTTCCATTAATTACGATTCCTCCGTTTGCTTGTAAAAGGGCTTCCTGACAGATGCTTTCACTATATACATTAAATAACAGAGGTGACAAAATGCAACCCTGTCGTACTCCTCTACGTATTTCTATTGCTTGTGATGTTTCAGTTTCTATTTTGATGTTAGCTTTCTGATTCCAATATAGATTGAGAATTATTCGCAGATCTTTATTATCTATGTCCTTCCTTTCAAGAATCTCTCTAAGCTTATCATGGCGTACTCTGTCAAACGCTTTTTCAAAATCGATAAAACACGTATGTATCTCCTGATTAACGTCTAGGCATCTTTGTGTGAGAACATTCAAACCGAAGAGAGCTTCTCGAGCACCAAGCCCTTTACTGAACCCCATCTGTGTATTACTAATATCTGACTCCAACTTTTGATAAACTCGGTTGTGGATGATTTTTAGAAATATCTTTAGTAGGTGGCTCATTAAAGATATTGTTCGATGTTCTGAACATTCTTTAGCATTAGATTTCTTTGGCAGTGTAACGAATGTAGACAACAGCCATTCTTGAGGTATAATGCCAGTATTGTATAATGTATTAAATAAGTGCAATATTATACCTATTGATTCATCATTCAAGAGCTTTAGCAATTCGGTAGGAACCTCATCCGGTCCATTTGCCTTCCCAGTTTTGGAATTTTTAAGTGCCATTTCTACTTCACATTTTAGAATTTCAGATCCCGTTTCGCCATATATCCGAACAATGTTATTTCTGTTGTCCTCAAATAATTCTCTTATGTATTCACTCCATCTATTAATTTTCTCTGTTAAATCTATAATAATCTTTCCATCTCTGTTCTTAAGCAAACTTATTTGACGTCTTCTTTGGGTTCCTGTAATTTCTCTTACTTTTTTATGTATATTGAACGTGTCATACTTTCTTTCATAGTTTTCCATTTCTACACATTGTTCTGTAATCCATTATTCTTTGGCATTTCTTATTCTTTGCTTTATGTTCTTATCAACCTCTTTGTATTTTTCTGCATTATTCTTCATTTTACGTCTTTCATCCATTAGTTCTAGAATGTCTGGTGTCATCCACACCTTATGTTTCTTTGCAGATTTGGTTAGGTGTTTCTTTCCCGTAGTTCTTATTATAGTATTTATATACTTAAGTTTTTCATCTATGTTGTCTGTTCTGCGGATTTGGCTTTCTGCTACACTGAGGCTGGTGTTTATTTCTTCTCGCACTGTTTGTCGTAGATGTTCAGTTTTAAGCTGGCTTAAGTCTAATGCTGGAATGATGGCTTTTCTTATTTTCTTTGGTCTAGCTTCTATCACAGATACTACTGGATTATGATCCGAACCGATATCAGCTCCAGGGAACGTTTTAGTAGATTTTACGGCATTACGGTATCTTTTTGTCACCAATATGTAATCTATTTGGTTTCTGACCTTCTATATTCCCTTATAGAATCTCAATGTAAAAAGGGAGCAAGTAGTGTTGCTTCATTTTTTGCTGATTTTTTAATGTATTTACAATAAATTATACCAGAATATACTAATACCAAACATATTGTTCTTTTATCAGATACAGCTGGAGGCCAAAATACAAATCAGACTTTGTTACGGTTTTGTTCTTAGATATTAAAACTATTTGTGTTGGAAAACTATTATGCTACAAAACTATAGTACATATTGAATAGTTTTTATTACTGTCTTGGATTACTTCTTTGTTTTTTCGTATTGTAGACAGCGGGTGGTACAACTTGCTCATTTTGCTCTATTTGTCATTTCCAAGTCGATTTTCTCGTCGTATGTAATTGAACGGTCCATTCAGTGTGAAACTTCCTGCTACAAGAAAGTTCTTTCAGAAGTTGTAATATGATAGAAGGATGTAATAAAAAACACAACTTTATTATGAACATTTTATATGAAAGCAAAATATATTACAGATCATTAGAAACAATATCTAAAGGTAACTAATTAAATACTTAAATAAATCCATAAATATAAATTTTCCTACATGACTTACAAATTCTTATTCAACAAAAGTAGTCTATTAATACTTTAACAACTATTTCTCGAATTTTGGTTTGTTCTTTAAGTATTAAAAATATGAAAGATTGGGATATACACACGTAACTCTAGATAAAAAATAAATGCAGCGGTAATAACCATTTTATATGTTTTTTTTGGCAGTAAGAGTTGAAAATTATGATATGAGAAGAACACAGTTTAATTTTGGCAGTGATATTGTGTTAGTATGGCAATGCTGTATTATCACAAAATGGATAATTAAAACAATATATTTCAGTTGGTTCTTGGTAAAGTATATAGACAAAAACAAAACAAATATAATATATTAATTTATATCAATATAGCACCTACATAAGTAATAGTGTGACAACTATTAATTTATAGACAGGAATTGGTTACTCTAGAATTACAGTTTTCTATGCACATTTCGAGATATTAACGTTTGAACTTTAATATATTTATAGTTCAGCTACTAACCGAAAGATGGGGTGCAGAAAACTGTAATAGAATATAAATATATTATATATAGTGTCTTGCATTGATATAATATATTAGTAAACTAGTAAATAATGTATCGATAAAGTCTAAAAACAATATTTTTGTAGGTTTCCAAGCAGTAAGGTAGTTTTAAGATATTGATGATTCAACTTTACTATATTGATATTTCTGCTAGTAGCCGAAAGATGTAGATGTAAAAAACTTAAATGGAAAATACAGAGACTAAACACATTATTGTTTTGTTGTAAGCTCGATTAAAGTTTGATATAATGATACACTATTAGATATATATCAACGACTAATTATACTGTAACTACGATTTTCTAGGGAAATGGGCTATTAAAGAATTCCAGATTTCTGAGCAGCAAGAGCTTGAGACATTGATTTTGTACACTTGACTGTGTTTATATTTCAACCAGTAGTCGACAGATGGGGCTGAACAGAACTGTACTGGAAAATAAGGGCCTAATTTAAAAACATCATCGTTTTATTCTCAGCTCGATTTAGGTTAGTAATAATTCCCGGTGTGAATCAAATAATATAAATACGGGGACAATCAAATCTACCAGTAGCAAAAAAAAATAGGGAAAAAATAGAGAACCTTGGGTTAGAGGCATTTACAGAAAGGACGATAAAAGAGATTACTTAAAATAATATTAAATAGACGAATAAGAGTTAGGAGAAAAATGCAAAAACGCAATTATGATTGATAAAGGACACTGAGAATGAACCAAAAATTAAATTTAAAAAGAATGCAAAATGACTAAAAAAGAAGTAACTTTTATTTTAAGGTCGGGTATAGATGTGTCAAAAAATTTAATTGTAAGAAATACAGTATTATCGACTAACTTGTATAACTTATTTTTATGCATCACTATTGTTTCTGTTTAAATACCTTACCAAAAATCCTGACTCGAAACATAATAATATCACTTTAATATCAGCAAACTGGAAAAATCTCCCAAATGTATACTTTTGCATTACTAAAAATAAAAACATTCTAATCTTCCGTCACAACTATTTTGACTTTGAGTGTTAGGGGTTTGTCGTACGATTCGGCTTCCAGAATGACTATCTGCGGTTTGCCGTGGATGATCAACTCAAATTCGCCGGGTTGTTTTAGTCGTTTTCGGAAATGTAGTGCCCAAACGCCGTGTTTCTTGATGAGTTCGAATTTCTTTTCTTCGTTACCTTTCACTATTTTGTAGATCATTTCAGTCTGAAAATTAAAATAGAAGGATTAGTATGTACTCGTTATATAATATAGCTTAGGTTGGCAGCACTAGCATTGAAGGAAAGAATGTTATCAGTCAGCCAACAGATTGAGTAGTTTACAAATAAAATTTAAAAGCTTATGTGTGTGTCTTTATGTATATGTTTACTATAAATATAATAATAATACACTTGAATTATTAATATTCAACGAATTTAAATCAGAAAACTTGACAACCTTATGGAGTTGATAGATGCCATTAAAAGAAGGAAATTACGAATTTCTTGCAGGGACGAGATAGAAAGGACAAAGGGCAAAAGAACTAAGTACAGTATACATATTATGGTATGTAGCGAGAAGTAACATAATTAATGGAGTTGATATAGTTCCTGATAATAAATGAAAGATAATATTGTAAAATGTATTGTATGAAATAGAAAAATTGCTCAAACTGTTTTATTTTATGCGTGTCTGAAGTCAATTATACCATTTAAACAATCTTTACTTGATCTTAATTTCTAAACTTCATTCACTTCGGAATAATAAAAAAAACTCACCTTAACAGCAGGTTGCAATTTTATAATTCTAGTTCTATGTCTTGTCTGAGATATATCTAATTTAATTTCCAAAGACTCTTCAACTTCATCGTGTTTATGCCTTCTGATCCTTCTCTTGGCTGGTTCCGTCTTGAAGAGTTCTGCAATGGTTTCGTTGTGTGATGCTCTAGCTAATCTTCGGCGTCTGGAAGATCGTCTATGCCTGCCGTTAATCTATAATAATAAAGGAAATATAGATAATAATTAAATATGAATATAGCGTTAAAAATAATTATGCCAATCAAACGATTTGTGTAAAGCGTTTATTTGTTCGGAGATTTTTTGTCAAAGTATAAAAAATATGTTTAAGTAAAATATCTTTAATTAGTAATTGAAAGATCTTAGAGTTCGTCATATCATTCATTCATTTCAGAATAGTAATTTATTATTATTGTCTTAATTTCTTAACACTGCAAATTACTGATCAAACTTTGCCATACTTGCAATAATTATATCAATGGTCCTTCGATCCGGATATATAATGGACGAAATTCAGGCTGCTAAAGAACATATGTTCTTTGGCACGCTCAAGATGATTTAAAACGTATAGAATGATATTAATCTCTGTTACTGTAAATTTATATTTTTAATAATTCAAACAATCAATTCTAATCTAAATTTAGCAAAAATTTAAAATCTTACTGATTTTTTAAGATTTTGAAGATGTGATTTAGTAGAAGTGGACTTCGCATTTTAAACGTTGTAAACTAACATGGAAATTTGTAGTAGATTTTAGTAAACTTTTAATGCCTAATTGACAAACTGTAAGTGATATAAATCTAAACAGACCATCATAATAATTTGATAATTTAATTATTTTAAAAAATCAACCCCAATAAACACCATTTTGGGTAAGTTCCAAGATTTTCAATAAGACAAAACTATACCAGGTTCGTTAGTGGTGTTTTATGTTGCCAAAATGTGTTAAGCTTATGTTAAACTAGTTCCTTATTCATTAGTGCTTAATGCTAACGTGGACGATCATATTTTGGTAAATTTTTCTATAAAAAAAGGCTGGTTGACTTCAAGTCAGTGCTATCTAACCGCAATTGTCTTTGGGAAGTCCTAATTCCTTTTAGAAACAAAAATAATTCATCTGTTTATATCTTATAGACCGAATATTCAGTAGAACTATTCTAAAGCTGTCACCACTAAAATAATTTGAGGTTAATAGTACTACACAACACATCAGACAGAGTAAGATTCAAAAATGTAATCCATCTTCTGTATAGTAGAGAGGTTCCCCTTAATATTATAAAAACTATCAAAAACATCTACCAAAACAACAAAATAAAAGTCAAAATAGATAGACACCTTACAGAACCTATAGAAATAGGCAGAGGAATAACACAAGAGGATTCATTGAGCCCTGTGCTCCTCAATCTGATCATGGATGAAATCAACAAAACCGTTAACAAAGAAAGAGGATACAGAATGAGAAACAAAGAAATTAAAATACACTATTACGGAGAAGACGCAATATTGATAACCCAAGATGAATACGAATTTTTAAAGTCAGTGTAAGACCAATAATGACATATGCCTGAGAAACAAGATCCGACAGAGCCACAATGCAAAGGTTACTGGAAACGGCAAAGATAAGAGAACTAAGAAGAATTACAGGAAATATGCTGGAAGATCGAAAGAAAATTAAAGACATTAAAAGAAAATGTAACGTACAGTGTATAAATGGATGGACGCAAAATAGCAAAAAAGAATTCAAGTATCAAGAAGAAGCAAAATTGCTTATAAGGACAAAGAAGGAGAAGCAAAAAACAACTTGTCGCTTTGCTTAAAAATTGAGTTTTGGATACACAACGAAATATTAGTTTCGGTGACCATTTCCTTGATTTTTGCAGGTGAATAATTCTTTTCGAAGTGGAAAAGGACCTAAAAGCATTAAGAGCCGCTTCCACCTCAGTTGGACCAACTTCATAAAAATCGTTAAATTCTAGAAAGATTTATCGTAGATCTTTAATCTTACTGGAAAGTCTTTCGGAAGGCAAAAAGAGTTTAACACTTATGTTGGTAAATCCGTCGTAAGATACTAGCTTAATTGTTTTTTAAGATATCCGGCTTTCTTAATATTGCTAGAAGATATCGACTTATTCGTTAACCTAACTCTTTCTAGTTCCAAAGCATCCAGATTTACCGATGGTTCGAAAGTATTTTTCTTAATGAAATTAATATTTAACTAGAAAGGATTCTTAGATTTGCAAATTTGGATGGCCTGCTTTTCTGTATGTATTTTAGTGTGTTCTACTTTATTTTTGTTGTTGCTCGAAATGGTTGCTCATATTTGGCTCAGATAAGGGCGTTGGTTTAAAATATGAGTATTCTATAGACCAAGTTAATTGAGGTTTTAGATTGTATACCTATTTTAAATAAAGAACCACTCATTGTGCCGGCATCTTTAAGGAGAGCATAACATTTAATATATTTCTTGATACCTATCATCTCGTTATTATAGTAAACCACTTATATAGGGATATATTAGGGTAAAAGATTGCTAATTACTACATAATGACATTTATCTTCTTTAATTTTTTTTCTTTAATACCCCTTTCTTGATCGGTACAATAGATAATTTGTTGGTAAATTTACTCATTTGATTAAATATTTCACTGATGTTTAAAGAGAGCCTTTCTAGCCCCGTTTTACTCTTAGTTGAATTTGGGTTTTGGACTTTAAACCTTGATGTTCTAAATCTGAACTCAGTGAACTCTGAACATTCGAAAAAACTGACGATATATTGAGAATATCTTTTTCCATTTACCTAATACCTAGATTTTAAAAGATTTTCAGGATTCAGCAGGCTAGGTATTTATTTTATGGATCTTTTCATTTTTTTTGTAGGATAATTAAGTTTGTCGTCATTTTTTTTATTTTATTTACTAATTTTTTGACCAAATCTTTAGGTTCTGAGATTTTCTGAATGAATGAATAAATGAATAATTGCTTGAAATGAAATATAATATATGTTATGTGAATTATAATACTGTTTTGTTCGCAAACTTAAACACATGTAATATTACTTAGCATACTTAAATATATCTTTACTTATAAAGAAGCCAAAATGTTTTAAAATACATGGATGAATAAATACTGTCCAAATTGTTCAAATAGGTTTGACTAGTTTGGATGTATTTAAACCACTGATCAAACTGATTCTTACTTTACAAGAGAAGCATCCTTCTGTAGTTATTAATTTATCCTTAGATCCTGAGTATTCATCCTCGATAGGATAAACAGGAACATCTCCTATGTCCTGACCATATCCCGAATAAACTGGTGTGATGGTTGATAGACAGTGTCCTTGACCAATACGTTGATATCCGTGGGGACAACCACAGGTGTATCCTGGTCCTCTGCTGTTACATCCAAAGGCACATGGTGCTCCAGAACAGCTGGGACTGACCTAAAAAATAAATTTAAACGATTTCAAATTTTGTATATAATTAATAAAATGAGAGAATAGGAATGGTAGCAGCCTAAGAAAACTAGAAAAATGATTTGCGCAACTTGCTTGCTCATATAAACGAGAATTTACTGATAAAACACCAGAAATTTTATATAATATGCAATATTTATATATATATAATAATCTACCTGTATGCATATATTGAGTCCCATATCAAATTGGTAACCTTCTGGACATCCACATCTATAGCTACCAGGAGTATTGAAACAGTTTCCACTACCTCCACATGGATTGTTTTGGCACTCATTTTCATCAACGCATTGATTAGAATAAGGATGTTGTGCATAGCCTTGAGGACAACCGCATCTATAAATAAAAATGGGTTTTTTTTTTAAATCTGCTGGTCGCCAAAAAAAAAAATTAAGTGGTTGCTAATTTTTTATAACAAAAGTTAAAAAAAATAAAAAATTAAAATATCTTAAAAGTGATTGAATTTTTACCTGTATCCTGCTACTAAGTTTTGACATCCTTCTTGACATTTGGTGTCATCTGCACATTCGTCAATATCCACGCAGAAAGTTCCACTTTGGTCCAACTTGAATCGCCTTGGGCAGATGCATTTAAAGCTTCCCAATGTATTTACGCACCTTCCTGGTTTAGGACAGACACCAGGTTCTTCGCATTCATTAATATCTAGAAGATAAAATACTTTATTAGAAGGGGAAAGTTGAGACAATAGATTTAGCTGGCTTCAATTGATGTTTGAGTTCATTTAATCTAGACAATTCTTTAAAGAAAACATAAATTATTAGTAAGTAACGCCTTAAATGAAGTCTTTGTAAGTCAAAGATGAATATATTTTTTCACCTTTAGTAAATAATAATTCTTTAGATAAACGGAAGACCATAAAGTACTTCAAGTTTCTCGTTTCTCAAAAGCTAAGGACTGATTATGTATCAATAATTTGCCTAGTACACTTTCAAACTTTTAAAAAAGTAGATCTACTATCTCTACTAAGGTTTTTTAAACACAACGCTCTAAAGGGTAAACGGAAAAATAAAGAATAGATCTCCAATGTGCAGGTTTCCAGCTAACATCAAAGCAATGCGTCGAATATCTGGTGAGGGTACACCAATATGGCAGATACAGGAAGCATATAAGGGTGGTAGCCCAAAAGGCAGCGAAAAGTGCGGCTGCAATGCAGAGGCTGGTGCCTAACATTGGGGGACCCCTACAGGACTGTATCTGCGGGGGCCTTGTGGACTATCATGGGTTGTTTTCTTTTGCATACTTAAGCAGTAGAAAGGTAGAAACGAGACATATCTATGAGAAAAGAGGGAATTTAACAGTAGCTACAAAAAAGAAAGAAAGGGAAAGATCAATAAATAGATGACAAGAAAAGTAAAACAACACAGAAGATGTTGTCCATAGACTAAGATTCTGATCCCGAGCATAATGGACTGGGTGAACTGTGGTCACAGGCGAATAAATAACTTCCTGATGCAAGTGCTCACATAACATGGGTGTTTTAGAGTTTATCTTCACAGGTTCAGAAAGAAAAATACAGACAAATGCCTATACTGTGAATATTACGACACTGTTGCTCAACAATGCTGAAGTGTAATAAATGGACAGTGGAGAGAAATAGAATGTATAGAAAAATACTTATGAACCCTGTGACTCTAAGAGGGATGATCGTGAAGATGACGGGAAGTAATAAGGGATGGAATAGTGTACGCAATTACGTCCGAACAGTCATTAAAAATAAAGAATAAGAGAAACACCAGCCTGACCAACGACAGAAGGTGGCCATCCCACCTTAGGAGTAGTATTAGGCAGGACATCCGTTTGCGGACCTTCGTCTAGGAGGAAATGGGCTTCGATGTACCCATCTACGAGGAATCCAACAGATGCTAGCTACCCCTGGGGATGGGTTAACCCTTTAAAAAAATATATTGATTGAGAAATATGGAGAAATATAACTACCAGCGTTTAGAGTAACAGGAAAAATGAGTGAAGAAATCCAGATAAGAGAACGGTAGTGGAAGTGGCTTGCTTAAGAAACCAGATGTTTAAATTAAAATTATCTAGGCGCAAGAAAGAGAGGTAGACTTTTAGATATCTCACTGAAAACGATCTATTTAAACACGAAGCATTGAAAAGAATTGGAATGAACCAAGAAACCTAGCTGAGAATAAAGACGAAATGCGGAATCTCCTGGATGTCCGATATTTATCAGAAACTTCGAGAAAATACAGCAAAAAATAGAAAATTCTTAGGTCTTGTAGAAATATGTGGCGAACATGTTTGAAATTATTTTGTACGATAATGTCTAACAAATTGGACAAAAAACGATGAAGATCCTAGGTTAGGAAGGCCCTGATGATCCAACGCAGAAAAGTGTTATTACGTTTTAGCTAAGAATGTAAGTACTGAGGAGTAAGTAAATGATACTAGTAACGAAAAATTATAGGAAATAAATAGTTCTGAATATTTAAAATATAGATATCGAATAATCTGTAAAATAAAATTGATTTACCTTGGCAATTATCACCGACTTGGTTGTATCCATCGTCACAAGAACACTTATAACTTCCTTCTGTATTTATACAATTCTGTTGGCAAATATGTTGGCCTGTGGCGCATTCGTCCAAGTCTCTACAGGTCAGACCATCGGGATTAAGTAAGAATCCAGGTGGACACGAACAAGTGTAGCTACCTTCGGTGTTGTGGCAATTGTATTGGCAATGGGATGTGTTGGTATAGCATTCATTAATGTCTGTGAAAAATAAAAGAATAAAAATGATTAGATTTGATACCAATTATATAAATTGGGGACAATTAAGAAAGTACAAATATATTTTTATAAGGTACTACTTACCATAACAATAGAGTCCTGATGGATCTGGTCTATAGCCTTTATTGCAAATACATCTGTAGGATCCCAAAGTATTGATACATTCTCCATTTTTACACAAATCTGGGATGGTTTCACATTCGTTTACATCTAAAACAAACAAAAGTAGATACATAGTTAACAATCATTAATTTAGTTACAAAAATAATATTCCTACCTTTTCCGTCCACTAAGAATCCGCTATCTAAGCACAATTCCTGATATTGTGGTGTATATCTAGATGGACATAGGTCGCAGTGAGGACCCCATGCTTCTCCCATAGAGCAACAGCAGTCAGCCATTGTTGACAACTTTAATTCGTTGTAAGGAGCTCTGCATCTTCCGTTGATGAGTTGTCTATAGCACATGCCTTGTCTTCTGTCTGTAATTTACAATTAGATCGATTATAAGGAAGGCAGAAAATATGATTTGTATTATGCTACATATTTGGATTTGAAGAGATTCCGGCTTATAAAAAGAAGCACTTATAAAAAGTTTATTTTATAACATATATCGATTGAGCCTAAAAAAAATAACTCCTAATAAAGTTTCAATTTAAACGAAGATCCAATGTCCAATGTTAGTGTTACAGGATAATCATGACATATAGAAGTCTAAATTAGCTTTAAATTTTTCTAAGCATAACGCAGTACTGATGTTTTTATTTCTTTTTTAATAGTATCTCATATATTCAGCCTCTAAGCAGAAGTGTCTATGGCTCTATGAAAAAATATTATAATAATGACTGCGCATTATCATTAAAAATTCATCCTTCTTCTTCTTATCGAGCCATGTTCCAACGATGGTTGGCAATCACTTCTTTAAGCTTTCTCTGCTCTTGCAACATAAAATATCTGTTCGACACTGGTTTAGCCCAATCTTTGATATCCCTTATCCAAGATTTCTTTTTTCTTCCCAAGCCTTTTCTTCCCTCTACTCTCTCTTGCATGATGACGTGCAGAAGAGGGTATTTAATAATTGGAAGTATGCGACGCAGATACGATGTTTTTTTGCAGTCCAAGGAACTTTAAGAATACAATATCTCATCCAGGTAACTATTTTGAAATTCCAGAAGTTATCGACACTACTCTTTCAGTTGCTTTGAGTCCTAACAACTCTATCTACAGTCATTGCAATTTATCCTTTATAGGATTATTTTCACAGATTAGAATTTTCCTTACGATTTTGAGTCTGATCATAAAAATATCAATAAATTCATAATAAAGCAATAATCTGTCTTCAACTAATTTAAATAAGTGCATCTAAGATATTTGCTTAATCTAAGGGAATTAAAAACTTTGTTTTTTCGGAAATAGATTGTTCTCCACTTCCGTTCTCTATAGAATACTGCGAGATCTAATTGAAGAAGACTATAAAGAGAAAGAAGAAGAAGATCAAAGCGGCTTTAGAACAGGTAGATCTTGTACCGACAACGTATTTTGTCTAAAACAAGTCATAGAGAAGAGATTTGCTAGACATCTGGAAACCCATCTTACATTTGTGGACCTACAAAAAGCATATGATACAGTCCCAGTATCGAGACTGTGGAAGGTATTAGAACAAACGAACATCAATCACAACTATAAAACTTGCACTTAAAGAACTGTATGAAAATTCACAATCAAGAATTAAGATAGGTAAAAAACTCACAGATGCCTTCATAGTGAATAAGGGACTACTTCAGGGATGTCCTATCTCTCCTACACTATTCAAAATATATGTAGCAGCGGCACTTAAGAACTGGAAAAGAAAAATACACGGAATGGGTATAGAGATAGATGACAGATACCTGTTTACTGTTCAGTTTGCAGATGATCACGTCATAATGGCCAATGACAAAGACAACATGAAATATATGATTAGAAAGCTGATAGAAAGAGTATGAGGAATGGGGCTTGACAGTTAACGTAAATAAAACGAAATATCTATGTGTAGGCTCTCAGAGCGAAAATTTTGAGTTGGACAACGGTCAAGAAATTCTGCAATGTCAACAATATGAATATTTAGGTATCATATTCGACAATACAGGAACAGGTGTGAAAGAGATAGTTAAACGAATAGTGATAGCTAAAAAGATAATAGGATGTCTGAATGGCATCTTGTGGAGCAAGGAGATAACAAAAAGGAGAAAATTTAATATATACGGGACAATGGTTAAGAGCTGCCTATTGTATGGAGCAAAAACATGGAGAATTCCAGACAGACAAAAAAAGAAGGTAGAGGCAGTCGAAATGGACGCGATAAGAAAATCTATGCGAGTCTCACGAAGAGAAAGAATGAGGAATGACCATATAAAACAACGAATGGGAATAGAATTTAGCAGATATTCCAGTAACAAATTAACTGGAAGAGCAACAATTATCAAAAGCAAAAGCAGAAAAAACAAAAAATTAACCAGATAGTTGTATTCATAAACATACGTTATCTTAAATAAAAGAACTCTTTATCTAAAAAAGAGTTGGAAACCTTTCTGGGAAGAGACATACAACAATTCGGGCCCTAAAGAGCCGTAACGGCAATTTACATGTTCCACATATTGGTTGTATCAAAACTGCAATGATGCAGACCCATTTCATATGTGTCATAAGTGTTTCTAATGATTCAGTTGCTTTGTTATTGAGTGCTTCCAGTTTTTTGTTAAAAATTAATTTTTCTAATTCGTTTGTTTAACTTTTACACTTTACAAGCCCTTGTAGAATATTCTTTTGCAATAGGTGTGTTAATTATTTCACCAACAACCATTTTTATTATCACTTAAGATAATTATATGTTTTATTTGAAAAATAACAAGATCCAAAAACCAAAAATTGTTAAGGGAAAAATGTTTTGTATTTTTTTTGTGACAATTAGCCTCGGTTTCCTCTACATTGTGTACTTACCTACACATCTTTTTCCGTCTTGACTAGGTTCAAATCCTTCCTCACAGTCGCACCTAAAGCTACCTTGGAGATTGATGCATTTTCCATTATTACAAACGTCCTCATCTTCACATTCGTTTATATCGATACAGTCATCGGTTAGAGCCACTTGACTGTATCCTGCAGGACAGATACACATAAACGTACCAATCAGGTTCTTACACATAAATTTGCAGTTGTTGGCAGGAGTACTACATTCATCGACATCTGAAAATAAAAAAGAGTTAATTTAGTGCCTTAAATAAATTATTTTAGGGCTTTGAACGAGTTGAGTTAATGATCATCAATGCAATATATAGTTGAATATAGATTTCTATAATAAAAAAAAATTGTGGCACTTTATGACTGGTAAATTAGATTTTTACCAATCCAGAGAGCAGGGTTCCGTTAAAATTATGTTACCAATGCTTACCTCCATCTTCTTCTTCTTACGGTGCCTCATCCTTAAGAACGTTGGCCATTACATTTGCCCATTTAATCTTATTTGTAGCAGCCCTGAATAGTTCTATGGAGGTCACGTTCGTCCATTGCCGTAGGTTTTTAAGCCAAGAGTTGCGTCTTCTTCCTGGCCCTCTTTTACTATTGACTTTGATTTCGATTATAAGTTAGAGCAGTTCATACTTTTAATTTCTTATGATGTGACCAAAATATTGTGTTTACTATTCTTTTATTATAAGCATAAGCTCTCTTTCTTTATTCGTCCTCCTCAAGACTTCCACATTTGTCGTATGGCTCATGTAGGATATTCTGAGCATTTTACGGTAACATCAGCGTACGAATACTTGGATTCTTTTTTGTGATGCTTCTGTCATTGTTTAGGTTTTAACACCATAAAGCAAGGTGGAGAAAACATAGCACTTAAGTATTCTAGTTCTCAATGAGATGCCCAGCTGGCGGTTACATAGAACTTTTTGCATTTTATAAAACATTGTACGTGCTTTTTCCAGTCGTATTCTTATCACTAGTGAGTGGTCTTAAGTTTCATTAAGATTACTTCCAAGGCACGTTGTTCTTGTTACTCTTTCCAGATCTGTTCCGCCGACATTGACCTTCACCCTTCTGTTTTGGTGCTTGTTGATGACCATTGTTTTTGTCTTCTTTGTATTCAATTTCATTCCAAATTCTCTACATGCTGTCGTTACTCGATCCATTAAGCATTGCAGGGCTTTCGCAATATCTGCTAGTATGACAGTGTCATCAGCATATCGCAGGTTATTTATACATTGCCCGTTTATAATTATACCATCCGAGGTGCCTTCCAAAGCTTTCTGAAATATCTTCTTGAGTAAACATTGAACAGCAAAGGTGATAGGACACATCCCTGTCTTACTCCCTTCTCGATATTGATTTTCCCAGATGTTTCGCTTTTTATTCTGATTTTAGCCTTTTGTTCTTGGTAGAGGTTTGAAATGATTCTTAAGTCTTTATCGTCGATATTACATGACCTTAAAATATCTATTAGTTTATTATGTTTCACCAGGTCAAAAGCCTTCTGAAAGTCTATAAAACACATCTCTACATCTTTCAACTAGCACACGTATTGAAAAAAGTGCTTCTCTTCTTCCGAACCCAGTTTTAAAACCAAACTGAGTTTGACCAGTGTGTTCGTCTAGTTTATTGTATACTCTATTGTGTATTACTTGTAGGAAAAGCTTCAACATATGATTCATCAGGCTAATAATCCTATGGTCTTCACATTTCTTGTAGTTTCTCTTCTTTGGTAGTGGTATAAACACCGATATCAGCCAATCATTTGGTATTATGCCTGTTTCGTATATTTTGTTAAATATATCTTCCATTACTTCTATGTATTCGTCTAGTAATATCTTTACTATTTCAATTGGAATATTATCTTCCCCAACGGCTTTTCCGTTCTTTATCTGATTTGCCTCTTTGATAATTTCTTGCTTTGTGATATAAGGTCCAGTCGATGCCTCCTCCATGTAAATGTTCGTCCTCTCTCGGTCTTGAAACATCTCTTCCACGTATTCTCTGCATCTACCTATTTGATCTTCTATGTTCAGTAGCGGGTTCCCATGTTTGTTTTCGATGAAAGACGAAGGAGTTTGTTTAAATATTCCAGCGGCTTCTTTTACTTTTTTATGTAGATTGAAAGTGTCATGTCTTTGTGCCAACTCTTCAATTTCTTGGCATCTTTCACTTAGCCAGGTTTCTTTGGCTTGTTGGATCTTTATTCTGATATTCTTGTGTATTTGCTTGTATGTTGTTTCAATTTTACCTCTGTATTTTCTTCTTTCGTCCATCATGTTACTTACCTCCATACATACCATACATACACTTTTACAGATTTTTATAAAACGTTCTACACGATCGAATTAAACAGCCTTATAGAAGCAATGAATGACAGCAGGATTGACCACAGGTATATAACTTATTTACAATATTTACAAAAATGCCACTATAACTGTTAAGATACACGAAAAAACCCGACCAATAAAAATAAAACGTGGGAGGGATAATGCAAGGAGATATATTGTCACTAAAATTATTTATAACGGCATTAGAGTACCCCTCTAAGATGGTTAATTGGGACCACAGAGGAGTAACAATAGATGGCGGAAAGCTAAACCATCTTCGGTTCGCAGATCGCATTGTCCTTATTACAGACACTTTAGAAGAAGTCACAGATATGTTATTGAATTGGACTCTATACGTTCAAAGGTGGGCTCAGAATCAACTTGACCAAATTTAGGTTTATAACAAATACGGTCCTCAATAGCCATTTAACTATCCAAGATAAAGTGGTAGAACTGGTGAAGAAATATACATATTTGGGTTATAAAATAAGAATCAGCACGGACAGTCAAACATGCGAAATCCAAAGACCAAAGGCTCCAAATAGTACAAAATCGTAAAGAATGGTGGATTTTAAGGAGAATGAAGGCTGGGTAATGATGATTAATGATGACTGTTATTCCAAAAATACGACAAACAGTGGAGAAACCACTGCTCCTCCTTTTTTCGCGGAGGATCAGTCCGCATTTTCTCTTATCCATCACAACTTATTAATGGTGATGATATTCGCTTGATTTGTAGTCCATTTGATCATTTTTATTTTCTACTTTATTCCTACAGACAGAAAAATTTATCTTTTCTATATCAACCTTGACTTTATCTTCTCATCTGCATCGACATCTTTCTAGGATATTAAATTTGTTGGCTTCCATTTTATTGTTTATATTTATGAGTTCTTCTTTCCCTCTTCTTTAGGTATGATCAAGCCATATCAGCTTTTCGGGCTTTATATTGAGCCAGATATCTTCTTTATTCAGTTGGGTTCTCCAACACGCTTTATTCGAAAGCATTTCTGAGACCATTTTAAGGGCAAGACTTGAAACTTTCTATGTATTTTGTTTCCATAAATTGGAAAATTAATTTGTTCAGTCAACAATTATTAACCTTCTACTTTAATTGTTATTTCAGTTGTAACGAGAAAAAAATGATCAAAGGAAAAGAAAAAATAAAAAAAAAGTAAAAAAATTAATAAATCTCGAAAACGTACCTGTGCAATGTCTGCCATCAGGTGCTAAGGCATAACCATACGGACAGATACACCTGAAAGATCCTGGGACGTTATGGCATCTAAATGCACATTGATTACCTATTTCGTGACATTCGTTAACATCTTCACATACCTAAAATATATTAAAAAAATTAAAGTAATTTTAGTTATTGAGTAGAACCTCGCAGTAAACTTTTTGCTTTACTTTAAACTGGAATATTTAAGTAGGCTACAAGTATAGACTTAAATATTCTAAACCCAAGTTGTACTCACCTGTAATGGTCCTGGAGCAAATCCATCGCTGCAGTTACATTCAAATCCTCCCTCTACGTTACTGCAAGTGCCATTACCACAAACGTTTGGAGACGACACACACTCGTTGTCGTCAATACATTTTTTACCCGTGGAGTCTAACACGAAGCCAGTGGGACAATCACATCTAAAGGAACCATCAGTGTTAACACACTCACCTCCATCACATACGTTTGGCATCAGCTCGCATTCGTTAAGATCGCTGCCGGTGTCCATTCTGCCTGGACCTTCTGGACACATTTTCAAGAAATCGACTAAAAAAAAATAAAACAATTGTTAAAGATGTAATTTTAATTTTTTTAAAGTATGTTTAGAAATATAGTTCACATTATAATGTACTTACCGGAACCTTCTGGAGGACACCTTTCGCAGTATCTTCCCCAAGCTGCTCCTTTAGAACAACAGCATTCTTTGGCAGTAATACTCATACCTCTGGGCTCTGAACACTGACCACGGTTAAAAACGTCGTAACATTGCTCTTGTCTGACATCTATACATTTCATTGTTGCCTAAAAAGTGAATGATTATTATGAACCATTATCACTTAATTTTGGCACCTAAGAATTGGAAATATTTGACGTTCTTCTTTAATTTCATAATTTGATGTGTTTAAAGAAAAAACACAGTGTTCTAGTATAGTAAATTATTTAGCTATTTCAATTTTAAACCAGTATCATCTATTTTTTTTGTTTGGATAGTGGGTAGGAACTCCTTAGACAGTCCTATCAGGGAGAATGAATCATTCCCTGCCCTCCACATATTCCAGGTGTTTCTTAACCCGGAAAACTAGTACCTGCCTAGGGTCCCTTGTCCAGGGTCACGAATGAAGGCCACAACGACATTCAAGGCGGAGAAGGATACCTTCGGTACGGCGAGGATGGCGAAAGTGGCATCCCCTGATTTTAGGGTTAATATAAAATCAGTAGAGTCTAATCCAGAGTGGAGGGCTACGAACAGCGTCTGACCCAGAGTGGGCGGCTGAATATACACTCACCAACCTGTCTGACCAGCGTGGTGTTTTATGGTCAACACCTCGCTTCTCAAATGGCGAATACAAACCCGAACGGAACTGGTCCCCAGGTAGGTGTATGTATATGTATATGTAAAATGTATATCTCAACTTTCAATGTAAGATCTTTGTCTAAAGACGAGAAACTCTATGAATTAGAGGAAGAAGTTAAACACCTGCAATGGGACATAATCGGACTATCGGAGGTAAAAAGAAAAGGTTTAGATGGAGTTGGTTTTTTGATTTCGAAAAAATATGCTCATATAATTGAGGAATAGGTAGAAATAACCAAAAGAATCGCCTCATTAATTATAAATATCAGCGAAAAGGTCACTTTAAAAATTAAATCTAAATTTAAATTATTAAAATTAAAATGGAAATGGGCTGGGCATAATCAAAGATAGGATGGAAGATGGAATAAAGAAATTGGCCGCTGGAGACCATATACTGCAAAAAGGTCAAGAGATCGACCGCAAATGAGATGGAAAAATGACATTGAGCAAAGCGCAGGTCCAATGTGGAAAAGACAAACAGAAGACAGACAAATGGAGACAAATGGGAGAAGTCTATATTCAACACATGAATGGATTTTGGGCTATAGATAGATAGATAGATCATCTATTTTTAAATGTATAGTTAAAGGCATCACAAAAACATTAAAACTATCAATGTGAGGAAATTTTGTAGTTCTCATCATTCTATTCAACAATGTGTGCTCATCATAGCTTATTTTATGTGTACTATTATTAAATTTTTATGAGTTCTGAGATGCTTTCCTTAACTATCCATATGGAGCATAAAAGTTTAAGGTTGCCAATATTTCAGGATACTCAATAAAAATGTTACCTCTGTCAAACTTTTCACTCTCCTGTCTTAAAGCTTTTCTTATTTGTTTGTATTCATAATAATTTTGTAATTTATTCCTTACCTTAATATACTCAATTTAAAAGCAAAGAAAAGCCAACATTTTTTTGTGTCCTTTCTCGTATGTTAAACTGATGGTGTCAAGTACTGTTGAGCCAGTTCTACTATTACACGCTTTGAATAAAAATGTCGAAAAATTCGACACTAGAGGGTCTATGGAAATCAAAAGCAGTAGAAAGTTGTCCAAGGAGCCAAAGTGTTTGTGAAACACTGCATTACACCTATACTTAGAAATTTTGTAGTTAAGTATTGTAACGATTCAAAAATATTTTAATATTTCTTTTAGTTATTAATTATTTAGAATAATTTATTTAAAAAAAAAACAGTAACTTTTAAGCGACCCTGTATATTTTAATTATCTGTACAGTTCCTAATAATCAATTAACGTAAAAAAATTGGCTCCTTAAAGGCTCCTTAAATGGCTCCAAAAATAAGGCTTCTTAAATGTTATGTGTACTCAGTACTTCTGTACGGAGTAGAAACGTGGACGTTAAAGGTGGAAACTATCAAAACCTTAGGCTTTTGAGCTATGGTCATACAGAAGGATCTTGAAGATACCATGGACAGACAAAGTCACAAATGAAGAAGTAATGTATGAAAAGGTAATTTGTATTTATGATAAGGAATTTGATACCACGAGCAAGTCACCCCTCTGAGCTGAATATAAATGGGTCTCTTAGAAATATGGTAGTACTATACCTGCTATGTTCCTAATTCAGTAACTTTCACTAGAGTTATTCATCGTGATGACAAAGAGCCCCTATTTGCTTCTATTAACTTTTAACAATTTTTTACATCATTACTATTTACATTTATAATTATATACTAACTAAGACTATTAATCAACATAGATATATCAATATCTTTACCTGATCAAGTATAAATCCTTCTTGACATGTACAAAACGCTCCACCGTCTGTGTTTGTGCATATACCATTTTCGCATATTCCAACATTGACCACACATTCATCGATATCTTCGCAAATTCCAGTCACAGTGCTGAGTTCGTATCCTTCGGGGCAACTGCAAACGAATGATCCCATAACGTTTGTACATTTTCCAGGAGGTGGACAAGCTCCAGGAGTCTAGAAAAGTATAATTTGTACATGTAATATACTTTGTACGACATAATTTTTGTTATTTTAAGCAACACTTGTAGAAACATGAACATTGATTTGTAAGTTTTGGTCAAACAGAGTTTTTTTATTTACAAATTCGCCCTATCAACCCGAAGGTTATTAGCGAGAATCAGATTTACAATATTAAATATATTATATATTTAATAAAACAAAATTAATAGCTTTTAAATAGTTTAACATATTTGTGAATGAACAATTTGTACCAAGTGCTTTCTCATTTTTATTGAGATACCATAATTGATTCTTGCTGTGGAAAAAACTGGACAGTCTACAACAACATCTTTCACCTATAGTTTAACGTTACACTGCTCACATTTTGGTTCGGATTCTTTAGTAATTAAGAACTAGGTTAGAACTAGGTTTAGTAATTAAGAACTTAGATTAGGTCATACCAGTGCGTGGCACTGGTATGACCTAATCTAAGAGGAGTTATTATCACTTGATCCCTTCTTTTAGTGGGGAAACATCTCCATGGTTTAATGTCCGGTTTAATATTCCGAAGATTGGACACTCAAAATTCCCACCGGTTTTGCCAATCACTTAGGATCCGCGATTTGATAACACTTGAAATATCACTAGCTATCACGTATTTCACAATAATAGAGTCAGCTGAATTGACGGCTTCACGCGCATACTTATCTGCTTCTTCATTACCTCTAATACCATTATATGATGGGATCCAAATAAAGATTACCTCCTTATTACAATTTTCTATCTCTATCAGATTTTGTTTTATTTTTTCAAAAATATGACTCTCTGGGGTTATTCTTCCTATAGATTGTAGTGAGTTTAATGATTCAGACAAAATTATATATTTCTGATTTGGTGAGGATATAATATATGTAAGTGCCTCGTATATGGCATATAATTCTGCATTAAGAGTACTATAGTGTATTTTCAACTTATACTTTTGACACATATTAGAGGATACAACTGCTGCTCCCACGCCATCTGTTGATTTTGAAGCATCTGTATAAATTTGAGGAGAGAAATTTGTATACTTTGATAATAAGTTTTGCAGATTTTGATGTATCATACTATGGTTACTAGTGTGTTTGTCCAATGATGTTAGGGTAGTTGTTATTTTAGGTACTCCCAAAGTCCATGATGCAGCAGGTTCAAAAATAACGGGAAAGCAAGGAGGTAAGGTGGTGTTCAGAGATGAGAGATCTATTTTGATTCGGTGGTAGAAAGGTTTATGTAGACGTGATTTATTGGAGCAACGTGTTGATAATTGGTTAAGGTGATCATATTTGAAGGTATGGTTGTGAGGATTTGCATTTGATTTAATTGCGTAGGTTAACTTTAAGTACAATCTTCTGTAAAATAGTGATGGTTCAGCTGCTTCACTATACAGGCTTTCTATTGTTGTGGTTCTCTAAGCTCCCAAGACAATGCAGACTGCAGTATTCTGTATTAAATCTAAAATTTTAGGGGAAGACTCAGTAGCCGGTGAATATGCTATCGCGCCATAGTCTAATTTAGATCTGATTAGAGTTATGTAGAGAGAGAGCATAGTTTGTCTATCTGCCCCCAGTCTTTTTAGCTAGTAATTTAAGGATATTGTTACGATAATAAATGTTATGGCGTATAAAACTGTAAATATTTGATGACTAATTCTTTTTGAATTGATTCTCGTAATTTCTAGGTCAAAATCTACCTGACACACGAAGGGTTCCCCTTTACTATAAAAACAACAAATTAGAGCTTTCTGGAACCGCACCGATACCAGTTTTTAGATCATTGTCGCTCTGTCTACGTCGAGGGCATTGTATTTTCAACAACATTCTATTTACCAGCTGGTTTTGTATAAATAACGGAAGATTTTCATTGAGAAGTCAAAGAAGAAAAGAAACTCGTGGACATGGTTTAAAATGTACGAAAGTAATAAATAATTGTATAGTTATTTAATAAATTGATAATAAATTATCGTGAGTTTTAATAAATTAGAATGAAGACAAAAAATTAGAACTATAAAAATATAACAATAGTCTTGCTTGGCCGAACAGAGTTTAACAGGACTAAATGAAAGTTATTGAGGACTTTAACAAGTTTGCTATTGTATAACAGTTAAACAAACTGATCTTTGAAAAGAAATAGGAAAGAAAGATATAGAAAAATCACAAAAAATATAGCAATAATACTCTGATGAACACATAAACACAGCCTTTACTCTGTATTGAAGAAGAGAAAGGACTTGCTTAGATAGATATTTACGGTTATCGAAATTTCTTAAAACGTATTGTATTCATTAGATAAAGAAATTCAAATGTTCATGGTACTTATAGTTGTAAAACAAGTAAAAATTATTGGAAACCACAAAATAAAGATCACTTTAGACAAAAAATTTCAATTTTAAGTAAAACATGCATGTTTTGGTAAATCCTAATTATCTTCAGCATAAAGTATCAGCTAAATGGTACAAAATAAAAATATAGTTTATGTTTTTATTTTAGTTTAAAATAAAAATACTGTTAATAACATAAGATTAAACTTACTTCTTGGCATTCATCAATATCCCTACAGTTATGCTTGTCATGCGTCAAAACGTATCCAGAAGCACACTCGCAGTAGAAAGATCCTAAGGTGTTTCTGCATCTTCCATTTCTACATAAGAACGGCATCATATGGCACTCGTCTATATCTACACAGTCGTTGTTGTTACTTAGTTTAAATCCTGGATGGCAATGGCACTTGTAGTGGCCCACCATGTTAATACAACTGCCGTTGTTGCAAATGTTGGGATGGCGCTGGCATTCATCGATGTCCAAGCAAGTGTCCCTGTAATTATTAAAGAATTTTAAGTTACGATACGAGGTGTTCATCTTGTTCTTCTTCTTTGTATGTTAAGCCTTAAGGCTTGTTGTTTTCGGTCTTATTTATGAGTATTAGCGATGTTGACTGGTTGACTGTGGACAATGTGTTGCAATCAAATAACCAATTTGAACATGTCTATACCTGTCGATGCTTCCCTGAGCCAGAGATCAATAGTTGACGTTGATAGCTCAGTCCGTTTTTAGCAGATAGATGTAAAATAACAAGCAAGCTTAAGCTTCTTAATAAACTAGAGAAAACAGTTACACGAGCTCTCGGTTTGTTAAAAGTATACGAAGGTAAATGTTTATAATGTATGTAAATTTTGTACACAGGAAAAGGTTGATTATTAGGAGTTAAGTCGTGGACTCTCACAGGCCCTAGCAGCAACAAAAATTGAGGCTTTCGAAATGTGGCTTTATCGTCGAACCCTGAAGATATCCTACATCGACTATGCTAATAATCAGGAGGTTTTATTAGGAGTAAATAAAGAAAAAGAACTGTTTAAGACAAATAAGAATAACCGAAATCGAAACCCTTTGTCATATCTTGAGAAACAGCGAAAGATATGAGATGCTGCAAATAATTCTACAGGGAAAGGTATAAGGAAAACGAGGATCAGGAAGAGGAAAAATTTCATGGCTAAAAAATGTAAGTATGTGGTTTAATACAACAACCACAAATCTTTTCTCAAAATACAAACTGGCATGATGGTCGCCACCCCAAAAAAAAAAAGAACAGAAGAGACTAAGTTATTGCTAACCGCTTGAAAATTGGCCAAACCCCTTGACCGAAAATATCTTTGCATGGTTGATATGGTATAAACGCGTAAAAGCTTTGAAAGTTTTATTTTTAATATCTATCTTCAAACTTCAACTAATTGTTCTTTTCTCCTTCTATATTTGCTAAAAAATCCACATATGTATATCATATATTAGACCTCAAGAAATTTTTCCTTGAAACTCATCTGATTTCCCAGCAATTTGACATAAAAAAAGGTTCTACAACTTACCTATCAGAAGTCAACAAATATCCTGTGGGACAAATACACTGGAAGCTTCCCTCTAAGTTTTTGCAGTCACCGTTTTGACAAATATGTGGCTTTTCCAAACACTCATCAATATCCACACAATCCATGAACGTAGATCCGTGTTTATATCCTGCGGGACACTTGCATTCGAAGTTACCAGGAAGATTGAGACATTGAGCATTTCCTTCGCAAGGATTTCTCAAACATTCGTTGTCATCAATACATTGATGAGAGTTTTCGTCGTAAATATAGCCTCTGAAATAAAAATGGCGTTAGCATAGGAAAGAAACAAACTCCACTGGAGATATTTGGTAACACAAAGATGATTTAATCTTACTTACCTGTTGCACATACATTCGAAACTTCCAGGTGTGTTAATACATTGTCCATGTTTGCACATAGACGGCATCAATTCACACTCATCAATCTCCATTGTCTCATTGGTAATGGGATTTACTATTTGTCCAGGACGAACTCCACATAAACTTACGTGCTCACCTAGAATTTCGAAACATTTATACTTAATACATATATCAATATTGATATGCACATAAAAACATAAGTAATAGGTTATGTTAAAAGAAAAAATATAGTGTGGAAAAGAGTGTAAAGATATTCGGCAGAAAAATGCTGAAATTGTTAGAAGCGAATAAGACAAAGTTACAAATACTTACTTATTCCATTACTCAAAAAATTATTTTATTTTTTTTTAAGTTTATTTTTTATCTTCCGTGAACATTTGTTATGGTGTAATTAACTATCCTCTAAGCTTTTTGTAAAATTTGCAGTTACTTAATCAGAATTTTATATTATTTTTTATCGTTTATTTTTTTTTTTCATCAGGATTTATTTTCTTGCATGGCCGTTCCATGATACATTGCTGTTTGTCCTATACCAAGCTCTAAACTCATCTTGTTTCTTGCGTTGATCAATTTCATCCAATAGCTATCCTATGAAGATACATATTAGGTATTACGTTTGTGCAGATAGTCTTGTTGACCTAAAGAAGGTATCATTGGTTTGCTTCTTAAGATTCTTGAGCTATGATGTTCTTCTTCTAACAGGTCCACTTTGACTCGCAAACTTTTCTTATCTGTATCTGTACTTCTATGTGTATTGACAACCATTCTATTGACTTCTTTAAGTTAATATCTTTATGTATGTCTGCATTTATTTATTATTATTCACTACCAGTGTTCCATAGGTCCTATTCCTAGTGTTTCTTTAGCTGCAATATCAACAAGGTTTTCCAAATTGGATATTTTCCATTTTTTTGTTCTCAGTTCTACATTGGTAGTGCTGCAACCAAAAGATCTAACCCTTACGTAATAAGTTTTGCTCACTGTGGTAAAGATTCACCTGCTAATTTTGGTAATTGAAACTTGTTGAAGGTAGAGGTCAAGCTTCTGACTACATCTCTGGCCTCTCTGCTCTGACCAATTTTTGTTATTGTCATACATTCACACTCATTTCTAGGTCCTGTTTTTGGCCCATGTTTATGTTATTAACGTTAAGGCATTTTGATCCACTTTTGACTTCTAAATGATTCTTTTATGTAATTTTGTGCAGTTAAATGCTGCTAGATTTTTTATTGTTGTCGATACTTAGAGCTTTTTTATTATGGATTTAAAATCTTATGTACTTAAAAGTGTTCTCTTTTCTGATTTCTAAAAATACTTATTAGACAATACCGTTATATCAGCAAGAAAAATATTTAGTATAGACTGGAAAATAAAATGAAGTAAGTGAAGTAACTTATACCTACTGGTGCCAGCAATTGGACAAGGTTCGCAAGGTTGACCCCAAGCTTGACCCATGGAACAACAGCAGAGTTTTCTCGTTTGATTTTGTGTCATGGGTGTAGAACACCTCCATCTGCTGTAGTTAAGGAAACAGAGGTCTTTGCGCATATCAACACATTCACCTGAAAGTAAATATTACATTCAACAATAATCATTTTAGTAATACCATACAAAAACTTACGTCTTCCTGGCATCGGCATGTATCCTTCAGGACACTGGCAATAGTATTTACCAGGTTCGTTAACGCATTCTCCTACGTTACAAATGCTAGGATTTTCGAAGCATTCGTTCACATCAATGCACTGGAAACCAGTTGGATCCAGCCGGTATCCTTCATTACACGAGCACATGAAGCTGCCGAATGTGTTCGTACAGTGGCCGTTTTGACAAATGTTTTTGTGTTCCTCGCATTCGTTTATATCTTCAAGAACAACCTATAAACAAAGAAATATCACTTGTAGACTAGATATCCATAGCCATAAGTGCTACCAAATTAAGTTTGACCAAAAAAAGTAAAAAACATTTGAAATCCTATCGATATATTAGCCGCATGAGAAATTAAGAAGCTGAGAAAACTTATTCGCAATTGGTGAGACAATTGTCAGAGGACAACTTAAGCCGCGTTTTCACGATGACAATTGTCATCACGTGGTTGCGGATTGTCGGAGGCCAGTCTAGTTGAACGAGAAGATCTTTATACGGGACCAACTATTACCATGCCAGTAGACAGCTACAAATATCACAAACCACGTGTATGTTTTGACTGACACCAGAGAACTAGAGGGAACTGGCAAAAGACAAGAGAACACTACTGGCCTACACCGTTCACACGGTGCCAATTGTCGCGACAATTAAGATTTCGAGTGGTGGGGGGCTCACTGGGCACAGCTCATTGTCCTCAGTCTACTTCCGGAGACAACTGAATTTTGGGCCATTTGTGAGGGCAGTTGGCAAGGCAATTGGCCTGAAGTGTTTAGATGAAGACAATAATTTCATACCAGTAAGTTGTCTTCTGACAATTGTCTCGCCAATTGTCATCGTGAAAACGCGGCTTTACTGGTGGTCACAATTGGCCCAAAATTCAGTTGTCTCCGGGAGTAGACTAAGGACAATAAGCTGCGCCCATTGAGCCCCCCACCACTTGAAATCTCAATTGTTGCGACAATTGGCGCCGTGTGAACGGTGTAGGCCAGTAGTGCTGTCTTGTTTTTTGCCAGTTCCCTCTAGTTCTCTTGTGTCAGTGAAAACATACACATGGTTTATGTTATTTGTAGCTGTCTACTGCCACGGCAATAGTTGGCCCCATATAAACATCTTCTCGTTCAACTGGACTGGCCTCCGACAATCCGCAACCACGTGATGAAAATTGTCCAATGACAATTGTCTCGCCAATTGTCATTGTGTAAACGCGGCTTAATAGAGAACATGAACACTTCTAATAATATTTTCTCGAAGAGTGTAATTTCTAGTAATAAGCAGCCAAAATAATAACTCTGAATTAATGTCGACGAAAAAAGATATTTCCATTGATGATAGTATTTTGGAAGTTAGTTAGCAAATAAAGTTTGTCCAACTTTAAGAAATGTTAACTTTTAAGTAATTCATTATTAATAAAAATATTCGGTAATTAAAAAATGTTGTACTCACCGTTATATCATTTGGTTTATAACCCATTCCTCCAGGACACAATTGCTGGTATTCCTGACTGTCTGGATGAGGACAAAGATCACAACTAGGTCCCCAACCTTGACCTACTGAACAACAACAAGATGCTTTGGTGACGTAATCGGCAGTTGGTGAAGAACATCTACCAGGTCCGTCTACTTTGAGGAAACATCGTGAAGTTCTTCTATCTATAATTTAATAGTATTTATAGAAATTGATAATTAATAAATTTTGTTAAGCATGTACTTGCTTCTTTATTTTTGTAACATGTTTGTGAAAGGTTTCTTAAAAGAAAGTAGAGAGCAGTTTCTTACCTATACAAGCGTTTCCTTCTGATACTAGATCGTGATGTGGTGGACAAACACATTTAAAGCTGCCATCGGTGTTGGTACATTCTCCATAGAGGCAAGATTGTGGACTTTCACATTCGTCGATGTCGGTACAGTTGCCACCAGAGCTGTCAAGTTTGTAGCCATCATTACACTCGCAACGGAAGAAGCCGAAGGTGTTTTCGCATTTTCCGTAAACGCAAAGGTTGTTGAACATGTCACATTCGTTAATATCTACGAAAATAATAAGGATTAAAGTTTTTGTTTGTGAAAAAAATTAAAAATACACGAATAAATATTTTTGAATAATTTTATAATATATACAAAACCAAAAACAGTTTTGAGAAAGATTAGGTAAAGTGCCCAAAATCCGTCTCCTGTCCTAATTTTGTCCCCCACTGTAACTGATATGGAGCAGCATTATTATGGACTGAATATTTTTGACTTGAGGCGATTGGCTTACTAGCTAGCTATTTTAAACCAAGTACCTGATCCTTCCTCGAATGAATCAAAGGTTGCTGGCAAAAGTGGGCTAGACTGTTTTTCAAACGCCACCTAGAGCTTCCCTCAGACGACCACAGAACTTGTCAATGGATAGAGCTAAAGGATTTACAAAAGAAAATGTTGACAAGTATTTCTCTATCTTGAAGCATGAGCTCGAGAAAATAAACTTTGACCCCTCAAAAATATCTACTGTAGATGAAACAGAGATATCTGTAGTCCAGCACAAACTACTAGAATAGTAACCTGTAAGGGGAAAAAGCAAGTGCAGATACTTACATCTGCTAAACGTGGATCCACAACCACAGTCATAACCTGTATGTCAGCAGCAGGCCAGTATATTCCACCCTTATTAATATTTCCACTTAAAAGGTGGCAGAAAGAATTGCTTGACGGAGCTGCTCCAGGGAATCCTTCAGATTCAGATTGGATAACCGGTTCATTGTTGCTTAAGTAGTTTAAACACTTCAGTTCCATTGTGGACCCATCAAAAGAGAATCCTGTTGTGCTTATACTTGATGGTCACTATTCCCATACTAGAAATCTCGAATTTATTATAAACATTGCAAGAGAGTCAGGAGTATCTATAGTTTGCCTTCCTCCACAATCAACAGACAAGCTACAGCCTTTTGATGTATCGTTTATGTTTCCTTTGAAAACTAGATACGCAAAAGCTATAGAACAATGGTTGGCTAGTAACCCAAATAGAGTTGTCAGGAAACTGCAAATATCCAGTTTCTTTTGTGGGGCGTATCGTCGTGCAGCTACTCTTGAAACGGCCGTCAATGGGTTTAGAAAGACTGGGATCCATCCATTAAATTCTGATGTCGATCAGAAGCATGATTTTATTGCTAGAAATCTTGAACAGCAAGAGGTGCCTGCCAATGGACGGGATAATGGCAACCAAAATGTTCTAGTCTCACCTTAAGCGGTCAGTCCACGAGACTACAGGTTCAATTTTGACTTACAGTTTGTTGTTTTGGTAGATGTTTTTAATAGTTTTTATAATATTTAGAGAAACTTCTCTATTCTACAAAAGATTTATTACATCTTTGAGTAATACTCTGTCAAACGCTTTTTTTAGGACAATGAGACATAGAAATGCTGGGTCTATTATGAGAAGGACATCAACCTCGGAAAAAGCCTATCTAGAAACTAAGAAAAGCAAATAACTAGCGAATCAAAAAAAGAACTCGTTTGGAAAACCTACTTCCAAATTCTTCTAGTTACATAGGAAAATCACTAGATAAAAATTTTCAGCTCGATCAGATTTTATTTAAGATCTTCCTACTGGACAAGGCAGTATGTTAAATTAAGATCAAAACGTGTTCCATAAACTTCTCTGTGTACATATTTCAGCTGCCAGCCAAGATATGAGGCTGGAGAATCACAAGTTTAGAGGATCATTTAAGAAAAACTTTTTTAATAAAAAATCCTGAAATAAAAATTTAAATGTTAGATAAAATTCTGTAATTCTAAGTTAGAAAAATTAAAAATAAATCATAAGAATATACCTGCGTTAATGGTGGTTAGTTACATATTAGCTGTTAGTTTTCTACTCTATAAACCACTATCATCTATATAACGACTTCACTCTTCTTCTCCACTGAATATGTTCCTCTATACGCTTCTGCTAGGGATGCTGCTTTTAAATGATGTTCTAGTTAATTTAATGATGAAGCTACTGAAGCATGATATATTAGTTATAAGTGAACTAGGTTAGTTCTAAATTAAAAAGCTAACTAGATATTGCGTGTAAAATCACTTTGAACTAATTCTATATTTTCATTAAGTTTTATTTTATACACAGTGTTCATTGTGACGGCAACGTTGTCCTGGAAATTATAACTTATAAACTAGTACAACACTGACACATTTTAAAAGATCAATTTATATTTTGCAGTATGAAAACCAAGATTTTTGTTATAAGAATGGTAACAGTTTTATATGATGCTCAGTTTACCAGTAAATAATGGACTATCTAAGCTCTAACGTCAAAATGGACAGAGGGTTTAAAAACACTTTCAAACATTTCTAATTTGTAGCAATAAAACACTGAAAACTATGTTTTCAAAACTTACACAAAATTTATTATAAAATTTTATCACTACAACTCTGTTGGATGAGTGAAGTTTCACTTGAGAAAGGCACTCAATCGAAACTTGCTTCAAATATAGTGTCGTTAACAAATCTTAAATTAGAGCCATCTATAGCCATCCTCGTGACATATTCAGCATAAATGTTAAATAAGTTAGATGACAACATGCATCCTTATCTAACACATCTCTCAGTCTTAAATTAGATTGAGAACTTCTGATCTAGTCATACTCTTATTATATTGGACCGGTACAGATTTTTAAAAAAGTGTCACCAGATGCATTGTGTGCCCATTTCTAATAAAATGGACCACAGATTTATCAAACATAATCAAATGCCTTTTTGTAGTCAACGAAGCATATAATCATAGGTACTTGAAATTTTCTAGACTTTTCAATGAGTTGTCTCAGCTTCAGAATGTGGTCCCTTGTACCTTTATTATTTACAAAATTTTCACATCTGGTAGTAGTTCCTTTGTTGTGTAGCGGGATATAAATTGAGGTACACTAATCAGATCGCTATTTTCCAGAATTCGAAACAGCGACCTGTAATCTTTTGTTACCTAGTAACTGTAGTATTTCACCTGGTATTAAATCAATGCCTGCGAACTTGTTTCTCTTTAGAGATTTAATTGCATCTTTGACTTCAGCGAGTAAGATAGTAGGTTCTCTAGAGAAGTCAGAGGGACACTGATTTTCTACTGGTACCTTGTTCTTTTTATATAACTTGCCACAGTAGTTTTGACATGTTTTCAATATTTCGTCAGTATTGGTCTTTAGATTACCTTCCTTATCTATTACAGACCACGTTTGAGATTTAAGTTCCTTAAGTTTTTCTATTTTATATTTTACAAAGGCATTTGACCGGGTCAAATTAAAGGACCTTATTTACTTACTGTATGCAAGAGAGATACCTCTAGAAATAATCAAAACGATTAAAAATACATACCAAAACAACACAATAAAAGTAAAAATAGGTCAAACCCAAATTTCCAATTTAAGTAAAACTAAACAGGCTGCTTACATACAGATACTACAGTGACCAACACGTCAGATAATGGCAGTAGGAAACAAAATTGGAAAACCCACCAACTAGCAGGAGCCTTGAAATCAGTTCCTTATGCGCATTGCTGTTCTACAGTAGAATACACCTATTCCAATTAAAATTGATATTATGCTGAAGTTACTTTACTTTATCGTGTCAGGACATGTCATTAATAAAATTTCGGCCCAGTATCGGACTACGTCGGTTCCATCTTTGTTGGTGAGCCACAAATCTTGGAGGGTACATCGATAAGGACAATTTCTGCATGTAAAAAGATGATCCATATTCTGTGTTTCTCCACAGTCACAGCTCACATCATCTTGGTCGATTTTTTCGAGATTTTGCCATGGTTGATTTTACTGGAGCGACTCCCGTGCTTTTTTTTTCTATCCTGGCGACATTTTTTTCTATTCTGGCGAGTATGAGTCTCTCGTATAGTTTGAAAAAGTAACACAACAGCAAAATAGGTCTGTAGCTACTGGGGTTTTCTGGGTCCGTTCCTGCTTTTAACAAGGCTATTACTTTAGATTTCCTCCTTGATTTTGGAATTTCGCAGGTTTTGCAGTACGTGTTATAAAATTGCAAGATCAAGTTTTTCTCTCCTTGGCCTAGATGCTTTATTTGTTCACTGCATATATCATCCACACCTGCAGCTTTTTTTTTTAACCTGTTTATACCGTCGTGGAGTTCCTTTAGTGTAAAGTGGTTTAGTCTAGGTGGTTTGTCTTCGAATCCAATCTTCTACTAGTGTAAGGGACCTTATATCGGTTTCTAGTTCTTCCATTCATAAGTAGTTCAGCAGCGACTTGGTTTGCTGTAACCTTGCAAAGTGGTTTGTGTTCTTTTGGATCACCGTCAGTTTTTTTACTTATGCTGAACGAAACATGAAGACTCCCATCGGATTATATGAAGCCAACTCCAATAGAAACACTTTGTAGATCTGCTGATTTTGCCAGCACCAACTGAAGAAGAAAAACTTACGAATTCATGGAACGAACTTTTGATAAACACCATCTTCTTTTTTGGGCTAAATATAAGTCCAAAATATAACATCTGGTAGTAGATTCTTGGACATGACATTGGACGACTTATTTACTCGTCTAGGAGATCCAGGAGATCCTGGAGGATTTAAACCAGGGTAGCACTAGTAAAACCAACTAAATAAAGACATGAACAGATAATAAATATAAAAGGCAGTAGTACTGGTCAAACAATTGTGAGCTTGCGAAAACCAAAAGGTAAGATAAAAAGTATATGATGTATATATTAAATATTTTAGGTACAGTTCATTTTTTTAAATAAAAATCCCAAGTTAAAGGTAATCTCTTAAATGAAATGTAAACTGCACCACATAGTATGTCAAAATTAATAATAAGTAAACCATGTATGTAAAATGTGTATTATTCTACTAATATTAAAGACTAGACAAGAGCCAAAATGGCTCACTACAAAAATATTGAGCAGTTAACATCTTACAATATACAAGTAGAAATATTATGTTACATATTCAGTGTGATTATCATCCCACTACTCTAAACCGATGTTAAAAATAAAGCTAGAGTCAGTCTTTGTTAAATTGGCACAAAAAGCATATGTTAGTCTTTTATCTCCCAGTTACTGACCAACACAGGATTGCTCGTTGCCTTCTTGTGGATGCATAAAGCCCATCTCGCACTCGCATCTAAACGATCCTGGATAATTGACACATTGGCCATTTTCGCAAAGAGTGGGGTCGTTGGAGCATTCGTCTATGTCGCTACATGTGTAGCCGTCACCTTTGAAGCCTGCGTCACATTCACATCTAAAAAACAAAGCTGTATATAATAATATCATTTTTTTTAAAGAGCAGTGCATTTAATCGATTTATTCTTTGATATCAGAATATTATCATGCTTTACTATTTTAAAAATACAGCTATTAAAGTTGTGTCTATTAAAGATTGGAAATATATTGTAAAAATAGACAAGATTAAGTGATCTACCATCGAGAAAATTGCAATGATTTTAATATAGGAATTGATATATAAGATGAACTATTTCACTAGAATATTTTAAACTAATAAAACGTCTTAGCAACGTCACATTTCTTACTGACTAAACTCCTTCCTGTCTGTGATTTCTCAGGGACAGAATTATGATAGATCCGTCACGAAGGTGTCTGGTAATTCTAATGTTGTCAGTTTGACAAACGTCATTAAGACAATAATCGGTAATCAATTTTGGACAGATATAATGAATCCAGACGAAAAATCAAGATTTGGATGCCAATCAGGTAAAGAAATCAAACAATTAGTTTCTATAATGGAACTAGCAAATATTCTCTAGGATTTTGCTCGTATTGAAAAAGTTAATGACGGGCACTATTAGTTAGAGTAAAGTGCTATAATATCGGATAGTTGCCTATTATCGGATAGTTCTGTTAAAGAAATCTGAAATATGATTAACAAGAAACCTATGCCCAGTTTAGCATGAAGCTAGACCCAGGTCGCCGAATAATATTTTAGCGTCTCTAGTAAAATATAGAGGGCGCTAGAGTAAGTTTTTCGAATATTTGCATTACGAGCATCGAGCAATAAGACAAAAGAGGGAATCTAATCCTTATGAAAAGGAGATCAAAAAAGTGGCCTCTGATGGCGGACATATCCGGAAATGCGAATGCGCGAAATTTAAATTTTCCGACACTTATCAACAGTAGCTATATAATATTTTTCAGAATGTGTCTTAGACGAGCAAGTTTTAATTAATTATTAATGATAAGAGTCTAAAATGCGACACAATTGTTAAAAAACTTCAATATAAATAAGATTTCATGTGACATTTGGGACAAACAATAACATAACCCAACTAAATTTGATGTCAAACAAGGAGAGAGACTATCTTTCCTTGTTTAAAGTGGCCTCTAAAGATCGCACTTCCTGTCTAACAATATGTTTGCCCCCACTACCTTTACATTCCCTCTATTGTCTTTTTGCTCGATGATTACGAGTAAAAATCATCAAAAGATACGACAAGGAAACACTCGATGATGAAAAAATGTTTTCACCTTTGCTCATTTGAACTTGCTTGGAAAGGCAATAAGGCCTTAAACTTCAAGATTCACTTTTTCCAGAAGGAATTTGATGTTATGGGAGAACTTACGGGCCGAATAGAATACAACAGCATTTTTGTTCAAAATAAATCAATACTCGACTGACGTTTTGTGATTTAACTGTCAAAATTTAATTCGTGAAAATTGCCAGGCAACAAACTTCCATACCAGTTCAAAATATTGCCGGCAAAATTTTCTCTCTTATGATATTATATACCATGGACGTATAAACATAGATGGACACAGCAATAAGATACCTTTAACACACAATGTTTTGAAGCTTCGATAGAATGTGATGCTTCCGCAATTAGCATAAGCGTGCTTGAATTTTTACTCGCGGGTAATTATTCAGATTTTAAAAATTGAAAGTAATAATAATGTATAAAAACACGTTCAAAGAATTTTAAAAAACGAGAGTTTAACTATTAACTAATCACGTCTTTATTGAAAAATTAAAATACAATTTTATTTGCTTTAAAATTATTACAATAAAATACAGTTGAATTCAAGTTAATTTTTAATAGGTATCAAAATAATGCTACAATAAAAAATCTTAATGTTTTCTCCTAAATTTGCTACCAAAATAGTTCGATCGTCAATATTATTTGGAAACCTACATAGAAAAATAAATAAGTTTTATTCATTTCACTAATTTATTTGCATTCATGAGAAATATTAAATTAGAAATGTACTAAGCAGATCTTTTTTAATCAGATGATGTCTACTTACAATTTAAAAATGTCTACTAATTTCATGAACTTATATCTTATTTAATACATTAATGGACATGAATAAACCCAATGGTACGCCTATTAAAATGTAAACAAACACGCTTCCTCATTTCCTCATCTTAAATAATGTAAATTGTATGTACTTACAAATGAAATGAGAGATCGGGATGTAAATATTTCGTTTATTTTATTCCACTTTTCACAAACATCACTCAAAATACAGCCAAAATATCGAAAAACAACTTTTACTAAAAAGTAAACAAACATGGAACAGCATTTGAAGTTTGACGTAGATCCATAAGACAGAGAAATGTAAACAACTGTTGCCATTTATAAATAGTTTTCAGTGCTTCTACATATAAAATAATTGATTGATATCTATTATACGCTATTATTAAATGATAATGCACATTATGTGCACACTTTATATTTTGATTACAATTAGATATATTAATCTAAACAATAAATTATTATTTTGGTTTGATAGCACCTGTAGTGTATAAAATACGGAGTAATATTTTCAGCGACTCGCGAATAAGAAATTTTAAAACAAAACGTGACAACAGTTGAAGGTGCTGTGAATGTGGACCTATTCAAATAATTTTGACTTCACAATTTTATGTAAATAACTGAGTCCATCTGTGTTTATACGTCCATGCAAGAAACCTATGCCCAGTTTAGCATGGAGCTAAACTCAGGTCGCCGAATAATATTTTAGCGTCTCTAGTAAAACATAGAGGGCGCTAGAGTAAGTTTTCCGAATATTTGCATTACGAGTAAAAATCATCAAAAGATACGACAAGGAAACACTCGATGATGAAAAAATGTTTTCACCTTTGCTCATTTGAACTTGCTTTAAAAGCCCATAACACCTTAGACTTCAAGATTCACTTTTTCCAGAAGGAATTTGATGTTATGGGAGAATTTACGGGCCGAATTGAATACAGCAGCATTTTTTTTTAAATAAATCAATACTCGATTGACGTTTCTTGACTTAATTGTCAAAATTTAATTCGCGACAACTGCCAGGCAACAAACTTTCGTACTAATCGAAAATTTTGCCGGCAAAATTTTTTCTCTTATAATATTATATACGATATTGTTTTTATAAATAAATTACATACCTGAACGAACCATCATTATTTATGCATTGTGCATTTTGATCACATCCACCATTATTGGTTAAACATTCATTGACGTCACGACAATGGAGTCCATTTCCGGTGAAACCATCTTGACATCGGCATTGGTAGGAACCCTGAAATAAAACATTTTAAATTATCAAATGCAAACGGTAGACAAGGAATTAAACAGAATCTTCTTTTACTCCTCAATTTTATTTTCTGTTAGATTTTGTAGAATAGGTACATATATTTTTCTTAAAGGTTAGTATCCTCTCCAAAATTTACTCTCTAATTTATTTCTTGTTCTTTTGATCTAAACATTATAATTAATTATAACCTGGGTAGAAAAAAATATTAATAAAAGTAATAATAATATGACTTACTGGATTGTTAATACAGTCAGCACTTTCATCACAGTTGTAAGTTCCCAAATAACATTCATCTTCATCGGTACACTGAGGCCCTCCTTCAGGTTTCACCGAGTACCCCTCTTCACATCGACAGTGGAATGATCCAAGAGTGTTAATACACTCACCAGCACCACAGATATTTGGTCGTTGTTTGCATTCATCGATGTCTAAAATAGAAAATAGTTAATAAGGCAACATTGTTGATGAAAGAAATGTTAATAAACTTGACGAAACTACCGTGGATATTAGCAAACATATTTTAAAGTTGACGTTAAAATAGTACATTTTTTAAACGAGATAAATACAGCTTTTGCATATCGTTAGTGCCATTCGCATAGTACGTAACTCCATTTTGTTTTCAAATATGACTTTTTGTGCCAACTGGTAGAATGTCTTTGTTTCTGGAAGATGCAATACTGGACAAAAATGAAAATGTATATAAAAATTATTTTAAAATGCTTACCAATACAGGAAGTTCCACTAGGTCCAGGTATCAAACCTTCAGTGCAATGGCATATGTAGCTACCAATAGTATTCGTACATCGTCCTCCATTACAAATTCTTGGATTTTCCTTGCATTCATCGATGTCGGCACATGATTTTCCGTCGGTGTTAAGAGTGTATCCATTACTGCAAATTAATTTGTATTGTTATTGTTGTATTTTTATTATCTTTTAATTTACAGCATTTTAATTTATTATAACAGTTCTGTTATTAACCCTTCCATAGACGCAGCTTATCTAGGAGACGGGTGGGAGTCAATTGAGTCAATTCTAAAGCCAATGGGAAGCTTTTGAGTTTCTTCGGCCCTGTACCTTCTTTTGATAGGTACATTTATCGACTGCAACGATGCCAGGTCTGAAAATTTTTCCTCTGAACTAGGGAAAGGTGAGAATCTTTGGGGACTGGGGAAAAATTTTTGTAAAATGACTAATATCTGGGGAAATTAAACTTGCTAAAATAGGTTATTAAATTTAAACTTAAAACTATTCTTAAGATGGAGGAGATAAGAGAAATCATGTGGCGTGGTCATTTGTAATTTCGTGTAATTCTATATAATAACTGTAACACTGTCAATAATGTCAAAAACAATTACTATACCTGTCAGTGTCACCAATAAGACTTTTCAACGCTTCTCATCTGTTTCGAGCTTGTGTCATATGTCATGTCCTCCTCAATCCTTTAGCCCTTGTCAGGGCGTAGTGACACCCTAAATATTATTAGTCTGCTGTCTCCATTGACTGTGATCTTGTGCCATATGGACGGCTTCATGTAGGGATTTTCCCACCAAACTCTTCATTTGGTCCACCCATCGTATTGGAGATCTTCCTCTAGGTCTTCGGCCTTCTACCTTACCTTCTACTACCAATAGTTCCATGGTGTCCGTTCTTCTAGCTATGTGGCCGAAGTAAGTTAAGTATGCTTGGTTTACTTTTTTTAGTAGCCTGTCTTTTATATGAAGCTCTTTCAGAATTGACAGGTTAGTTCTATGTTCTGTACAGGACACGCGTAGAATTCTTCTATATACCCACATTTCGAAGGCTTCAATTTTATGTCATATACTCAATGTATAAAATATGTCATATACTCAATGTATAAAATTAATACAACAGACTTGCGAAAAACGGACGACACTGGTATAGAGGTTTTCCGACTGACAAAGAACATCACGAGGTTCAGAACTTTACTAAGGTACATGCGAACTAATGATATCAATACAAGGCATGATAGAGTTAGTTTAGATGAAGGAATCGTGGACGAAAAGTTGGAGGCTTTAAGAGGATGATGCTCGTTCCGCCAGTACTTACCAAGCAAACCTGATAGATACGGTATAAAAATATTTGCACTGTCTTATGGAAAGTTATTTTATACCAGTAAGATGGAAGTATACATTGGCAAAAACCAGTGGGTGGTCCATACTATCTGGACACTATTTAGTACCAAGGCAGTGGCGAAACGGGCCTCTCAACAACTCTATGGATTTAAGACAAATGTTACCATCGACAATTGGTAAACCAGTGTTAATCTCGGTGTAAGCTTAAATGAAAATGGTTGGGAACAATGCAAGTAACTGGAAGAGAAATTCCTGGATATTTCTTTAATAAGCAAATACGACCTATTGGCTTGAATATATTTGGGTTGGGTTCAAGAGGAACATTAGTGTTATATTAACCAGAAAAAAACTGTAAATTGTGGGTATATTTCACTATGCTCCATGGGAACAACGTTGACCTTAGAACTGGAAAACCAGAAATCATATTAGCATATAACAACACAAAAACCGGTGTTGATACCGTAGATAAATTATGCTCACAATAACATGTGGCACGTTCTAGTAGAAGATGGCCTGTTAAATGTTACAGCAATAAATTTCTTTGTTATTTACAATTGTAACATTCCAAATTCCACAAAGACCCGACGAGCAGTTTTAACAAATTGAGCATTTAGCCTTATGTACAATCACCAGAAGGATCGAAAAAAATTCGACTAAAGTAGATCTGTCATTTGGATGATGTTGTGTCAGTTTAAAGAACTCCGGGAGCAATTGTGAGGTGTGGTGACTGTGGATGGAAAAAGAATCGAAAAACGAAATATGTTTGTTCAATTTGTAAAAAGTATCTTTGTTTGAAACATGTAAATCCAATTTGAAATGACTGTAATAATATTCCAGCTTAATTTCAGTATGTTTTTTGCTATTTCTTATATTTTTTTATGGTAAGTCTTGTAAAATACTATTTTGCCATAAATGGTGAGACTCGGGCTTTATGCGGTCCTACGATCCCATGAAATCTACATGCAATCCTACCATGTTGGTCTCATATTTCACTCAACGTGTTAAACTTCTTATGATTTAATTTTATCTGACTCAGTCATATTTAGACATAAGAATATTATATATTTTAAAATAGATGACCTTAAAATATTGCCAATATTTTGGAGGTCCGTTCCTGGGACAACTTTATTGTAAGATGGTTTATTCGATTTCATGAAATTAACTTAAGAATATCCATGAGAAAAACCATTTGTTTTTAAAAAGACAACCTCACCTAAACTCATGACAATAAATTTCTTTTGTTAGTAATGAATAAATGATAGAACTGCCAAAATTACTGGTTCTAACAAAAATTCTTTTTCAGAGAAGAAGCAATATTTTAGTGATTAATAATAAATTCATACTTATTATGAATATAACAGCAAAGAATATTTTACAAAGTAGATGAGCACTTACCCGCATGTACATGAAAAGCTTCCTGGAATGTTGACACATATGTCATCGCATGGTTCATCATCACATTCATCAATATCTAAATAAACAAATAAATATTATCTTCATGATTTAGTAAAAACAGTATTTTATATTGGATATTTTATATGAGAATAAAGTAAAATGGATTATAAAGATAAAATATTCAATAGAAAACATGCCATAAATAAAGAGTTTTCCTCCTTCTCAGTCATCCCTTTTAGGATGTGGTAACACCAACAGTCCTTTACAGTTTTTTGTACTGATCCTGGACTAGTTGTTCGGCTTCACGTAACCCTTGGTTAATCAATATTTTTGTTTGGTCTACCCAATGGCTTGGAGATCTTCCCCTTTGTCTCTTTCCTTCAACTCTACGCTCGACTATTAGTTTTCAGTTTTTCCATCGTACCTGCTCTTCTAGCATGAAGAGTTTTACGATCACAATATTGTTATTTAAAAATTTTATTTATTTTTTAAAAGAGTCTTCTAGTAATGAACGTGAGCTAGCGTAAATTTTAGCGATTAAGTTTGAACGTATCTCGCGATAATTTGCAATTGGATTGGTTGACGTTACAGAAAAGATCATATCACTAATCTGGTTAATCGAGAGCAGTAGCTATATTATATATACACGAGCTAAATGTCTTTGACAGGCTGCGATATGTACTTTATTGTCTCATATAAGTCAAAATTTTTACTTAGATTCTCCTGTCACATTTTTTTTATTTTCTCCTAAACCAGTTTTCGCCGCATTTAAAATAATTGAAATGTATCGAATAAGAGGTGCAAATGGATACAGAAAATAGGGCCAAGAGGTGGCATCACCTGTTGACGTATTAAACCGAGTTAATCTTTTTTTTTTGTTCAAATTTACATTGAACTGTAGTTGGCAATTCTTTAACACCTAAAGTTCTTTAACAACTAAATATTCTTTTGCTTAATTCTTATTCTAAACTTACCTTCGCAATGTGACTTTTGCCCAGTCTGCCTATATCCCTCGTTACAGATACACTGGTAAGTTCCCATCATGTTTTCACACACACCATTGGAACAAATTCCACTCGATCTGGAACATTCATCAATATCTTTACAGGATTGTTTATCTGGTGATAGTTCATGGCCTGGTGGGCATTCGCATCTATAAGATCCTTCAGAATTGAGACATCGTCCACCTCGACAAACTCCAGGAATCTCTTCACATTCGTCGATATCTAAAACACAATTTAACTGGCTATCAAAATCCCACAGTATGGTAATGAAAGTTTATTGAAAGTTTAAGAAATTGTAAATTAGAGAGTTTTATAAGACTCTACTTCTACAGCTGCAGGTAATTTAGTCTATAAATTAAAATAAAATGACATTTAACAAAGTTTATTTTATTTTTCCATAACTTTTTTTACAATTTGAGAATGACTGGATGGATTTAGCTAATTTTAATTTTGAAATATTTGTAGAAGTCCAAAAAAGGTTTAAAAAATGAGAAATAATGATAAAATACGTACCCATACAAATTTGCATAGGTGCCATTGTTCTATATCCCTCGTTACATTCACAAATGAAATCCCCTGGAACGTTTTTACACACACCATTTCCACAAACGTTTTCGGTTGTTAAATTACACTCATCAATATCTAAAAGAAAACAGAATGTAATTACAAAATTGTTTAAAGATCTTGCTAACTTCGAAAATATGTATAAAGTATCTAGACTTACCAATACATTTCACCTTGTTATCATCATAATCATATCCTTTATTACATTTACAACTATATCCACCAATGGTGTTCCTGCATCTTCCATTCTGACAAATACCTGGGAAGTCAGTACACTCGTTAATGTCTTTCTTGTCCAAAAATCCCAATCCTTTAGGACATAGCTCGTTAAATGCCGAGGTTCCTGGTCTTGGACAGGCATCACAACGGTCACCCCATGCCTTACCGATCTGAGAACAACAACAGAGACTTTTGTGGAAGAAACCATCAATTGGAGATACGCATTTTCCGTGTTTGTATTTCGTGTAGCATTGTTCTTGACGGATGTCTAGACATTTGGTTCCTAGAAAAGAAAAGAAAAAATTTTGATTATAAGTCTTTATTTTCCAGGCAGAGATCTATAATATCTTAAAATATTTAAGATAAATTGAGGCGTTCAGAACCAGAGCGGACCATCCCACAAAATCTTAAAAAATGCAATATACGTGTTTTCATAAGCAGAAAGCTTATTTTACAAAGCCAGAATGGACTAAGCAACCTACTACTATTCTTTAATAGATGCCACTACTGAAAAGTTTGGTCCAGTCGGTGGATTTTAATAATTTGTCGATGCCATACTGGATTATGTGGCTTAGTCCACTCTGGCAGTTTATTGTTTACTGTTTGGTTCGATATAAATTACACGTGGTTTTGTGTATATTATTATTTAGACTATTTTAGCATTAGGTACATAGTTTAATTTAAAAAGTATGGCATTACCTACTTGTTCGTATGTACGTACATCCAAAAAATAGAAGGACGTAAGTTATTCTCTGCTTTTATTCGTTAATATTTCGAATTTAACCATCGCTAACCTTACTTTTAGAACATGACGAAAATTCAGATAGTGATTGTGAACCCCCAAATTCTCAAGATAATGGCAGTTCTGACGTATATGAGCCATCTGATTTAGAGTCCGAGAGCAGTCTTAATAACACGGAGCCTAATATCAAACGCAACCAGAAAAAATTAGGGACATTTTTGGGTACGCAGTTTAATTTGAAAAATTTGGCATTACCTAGTTGTTCGTATGTACATACAAGGCAAAAAATAGAAGGTAAGTTTTACTGCTTTTTTTCGTAAATATTTCGAATTTAACTATCGCTAATCTCACTGTTAGAACATGGAAATTCAGATAGTGATTGTGAACCCGCAAATTATCAAGATAATGGCAGTTCTAACGAATATGAGCCATCTGATGTAGAGTCCGAGAGCAGTCTTGACAACACGGAGCCTAATGTGAAACGCAAGCAACAACAATTAAGGACATTTGTGAGTGCGGAGGCCAGTTTGAAATGGTTAACAATGGTGATGAAGCTTTGTTGGAAGAAAAGAAACCAAAATCAAGAAAGCGGATCAGGAACGAGGACCAATGGAAAAAAAATCAAAGAAAATTTTAGCGGGCTACTGGTAAGGAATACACTAATGTAAACGGTCACATTGTTCCCGCTAAACTATTTTGTTACGTGAACAATTGCTGTAAATTAAATTGCTATAAATTATTTAGCCCAGAAACGCAAAAAGAGATTTATAATAAATTTTATGAGCTTGCAAATTTCGATTTACAGACTGGATACATATTTTCTCAAATTAAAGTTAAACCAGTTGCCCGTCATTACACCCCTAAAAACAGTGGCATTCCTATTCCTACTAATAAATCGAAAAGCCTTACGAGAGAATATTATTTACCCAATAACCAAGGAAATAATGTAAAAATCTGTAAAAGTTTATTTAAAAAGGTTCTTATGGTTTCAGACTTCTATTCATTGATAGAACTCTTAAGAGAAAAACTGACTTGATGGTTCCATTGGATAAGCGAGGGCGCCATCTCCCTGCTAATAAAACTCCTGTGAAAAAAATTGATGATGTTTGCAAGTTCATTGAAAGTTTTCCAACCTATATTTCCCATTACTCTAGGCATAAAACACTCAGAAAATATCTTGGTCCAGAGCTAAACATTCGAATTCTTTACAGTGAATATAAGAAAAAAACAGTTAATTACGTGTCAGAACATAAGTTTCGTGATATATTTAACAGTAAATTTGATATACATTTTCATCCGCCCATTGTAGACTCCTGCAAAACTTGCGATTCTTTAGGAAACAAAATAAAATATGAAGTAGATCAAACAAAACTGAAGGAATTAACTTTGAAACTAGAACTTCACCAGCGCAAAGCCCAACAACTACGAGATGCTATGGATCAGGATGCAAAAATTCCATCGAAGGAAGATGTTACAGTTATCGCCTTTGATCTTATGAAAACCCTACCTACACCTGTCATCTCTACCGGCATAACTTATTATAAGAGGCAATTATGGACATTCTGTCTAGGAGTTCATAATTTGCAGAATAATGAAGCCACCGTGTTTATATGGGATGAATCGATTGCATCTCGTGGAGCCCAAGAGGTGGGATCATGTTTGATGTACTATATTAAAAATAATGTAAACACCAAAAAAGTTATAATGTATTCTGATGGCTGCGGAGGCCAGAACAGGAATATCAAAATGACTTTAATTTGCAACTATATTGTCCATTCTCAAGAATTTGTCGTAAAAGAAATTCAACATAATTTTTTGGTTAGCGGTCATTCTTTTCTCTCGTGTGATAGGGACTTCGGACTTATTGAAAAAAATAAAAAATTCTTTTCTAATATTTACGTTCCCAATAACTGGATTGATGTCGTATTAGGAGCAAAGAAAAAAAAATCCATTTAGAGTAGTCCTAATGGAAAAAGAAAACTCCTCAAAAGTAGAATGGCTAAAAATGCATTGTATTATAATAAAAAAAAGAAGACCCATTTGTTGTATATTTTAAATATGGCACCAGTGAGTGTCATGCTGTACAAAAATTTAGCATTCAAAAAAGAAATGTGGTTATGGAAGATTTCCAAAGACCGTTACCTCTGTTGTACCCAAATGGAAATTGTATAACCAATTGTATAACGCCAAAAAGAAAGATCTTTTACAGTTAACCGAATTTATTTCTAATTATTTATTATTTAAATTTACGGGGAATTACTATAAACGCCAAAAAAAACGAAGTACATGCTGATTACAAAAAGGCCACAAAATATACATCACCTATTGACAATAAATGGTAACGTGATAGAACAAGTAGAAAAATATCAGTATTTGGGAACTTTGATCAATGAAACCAATGATCATACTGTAGAAATAAACAGACGAATAGAGATTGCCAGATCAGCATTTATACGAATGAAGCCACTCCTAACGTGCAAAAATCTAAATTTGGAGATCAGACTACGTACCATTCGCTGTTATATATTTTCAATATTATTATATGGAGCTGAGACTTGGACATTAAAAAAATGTAATTTAAAAAGAATCGAGGCCTTCGAACTCTGGTTATACCGCAGAGTATTGAAAATATCATGGACTGATAGAATTACAAATAAAGAAGTACTGGAGAGGGTTGGTAAAGAAACAGAACTAATCACCACTATACAAACCAGAAAACTGGAATACCTAGGCCACGTGATGAGGGGACCAAAATATGAAATTTTGAGACTGATAATACAGGGAAAGATTCAAGGAAGAAGATCTGTTGGCCGAAGGCAGAACTCATGGTTAAAGAATCTACGTGATTGGTACCAATGCAGATCGATTGATTTGTTTAGAGCAGCAAGTTCTAAAATAAGAATAGCCATTATGATTGCCAACCTCCGTAGGAGACGGCACTCTAAGAAGAAGAAGAATTTATTTCACCCATCTATCATAACTTCTTTAAGTCTTTAAAATGCTCATTAGGAGCGCACGATGAACTGCCCATAGTTGATAAAAATTTTGATGCAAGTTTGTAATATTTTAACAAATTATTTTTTTTTTAAGTTAATCTATGCCATAAGTGTTTATTTTGTAATAAAATGATATTAAAATTAAAGTATGTGTCTTTGGTTTTGGTCCACTACGGAAGAACAAAAACTTTTATTAAAGCCAGATTGGATCAAGCCACAAAAACTTCTTCTTTAGTGCACATTGTGGTATATTTTTAGTGGTGCAGCAAAGGTTTACCTTTTCTTATGATTTTACCAAAAATTAAGCGTTGTTAAAATGATTTTATCAGTATTAAAAAAATTATGAAAAATCGAACATTTTTTAAACGCATTTATCTCTAATGAAGTTCTTATGTGGATGGTCCGCTCTGGTTCTCAACGCCTCAATTAACATGAGGGCTCTTGAATTAAAGGGGACCAATGTATGCTATAAGATTGTCAAGTGGCTATGTGGATCTTAGGAACCTTAGATAAACTTTTGGCTAGAGTGAGAATGCCCAAAAAGACTCAATAAACTGGCGGAACGTAACAGTCTCACATTTGTATGGGTTTTAGGACAAGAAATGCGTAGCAAAGAAAAAGGTGATAAACTTGCGAAAGACAATCAGCTACCAAATACTTTAGTCTAAAATTTGACTAAGGAGTCCAAAAAATCAACCTGCAACTGAAAAAAAGCTAAAAAAGCTGTTTCTAAATACTAAATTACTCTTAATAATAAAAGCATATTCCGGAAAATGTACAGTGAATCGACATATATTAATAGGGCTAAAAGTCCCAAGAAAAAGATACAAAAATCAGCTCGAAATTATAACAGACTTGATTATTGGAAATGTGGAAGTCGAAGTATTTAATCGAATAGACAGAGGCAGACGATAATTGCTGCCAATAATAAAAAGAAAAAAAACTGCTTATCTGGGTTACATATTTCGAAATTCCAATTACCAATTCTTAAAGCTAATAATGGATGCGAAGATAGAAGAAAAACGAGGCATCGGAAGAAAGAAATAAATACTCATGGTTTAAAAACATAAGGTATGGGACAAACCTCGATGCACATGCACTCTTTAGAGCCACTCAAAATCGCTAGAAGTATGCCAGAATTGTCGCTAACATCCATTAATTGAATAGGACCCTATAAGAAGAAGAAGTCGATCAGGAACACCTGCACAGAATGAGGCTGTTTCATGGTATTCATCCACTAGGTCATATTTTGGATTATTATTTAAAATATGTACAAATAAATCTTTTATTGTAAATACTCACTAGTTTCATCCAAAGTTAACCCAGGTGGACAAGAACAAGTAAAACTACCATCGGTATTGACGCAAGTACCACCACCTCTGCAAATGTCTGGATTGAGATCACACTCGTTGATGTCGGTACAAGTCTTTCCGTCAGTCTTGGCGTATCCCTTGGGACAGTCACATTCATTTCTGTTACACCTTTCGCAAGGGGATCCCCACGCAACTCCCACGGAACAACAGCATTCTGATCTTCTGCTGAGCTGGGGCAAGTCGTTTTCGCACCGGCCTCTGTTCAGGGTCGTCCAGCAGGATCCTTTACGATTATCTGTAATAAAAAGGAAAAATATAAAACGGTAATAGTAATCCTACGTACACCCTACGAAGGTTGGCAATCATAATGACTATTTTTATTTTTGAACTTGCTGCTCTAAACAAATGAATCAATCTGCATTGATACCAATCACGCAGATTATTTTACCATGAGTTTTGCATTCGGCCAAAAGATCTTCTTCCTTGAATCTTTCCCTGTAGTATGAATCTTAAAATTTCATATTTTGGTCCCCTCATCACGTGGTCTAGTTATTCTAGTTGTCTGGTTTCAAGCCTTGATTCAAGAGTCTCAGCTCCATATAATAATATTAAAAATATGTAACAGCGAATGCTCCGTAGTCTGATCTCCAGATTTAGATTTTTTAGATTTTTGTATGTTAGAAGTAGCTTCATTCGTGTAAATGCTGATCTGGCAATCTCTATTCGTCGGATTATTTCTGTAGTATGATCATTGGTTTCATTGATCAAAATTCCCAAGTACTGATACTTTTCTAATTGTTCTATCACGTTAATCATTGATTGTTAATAGGTGATGTGTATTTTTTGTAATTAGCATGTACTTCGTTTTTTAGCGTTTATAGTAATTACTATCTCAGCACTATTCATACTTAGGCTTTCAATAAGATATTGTAGATCTTCTATACTTGTTGCTATGATCACAGTGTCGTCTGCATATCGTAAGTTGTTAAATAATTTTCCGTTAACGGTAACTCCGGCAATCGCTTGCAGAATTTTAATTAGGACCACATAAGGAAGATTTAATTTTTGTTCATCGATATTATTATCATTTGAGCCTCATTGTGTTCGTTTAAATATATTATAGGCCTGTTATAAATAGTTTTGGCTACAAAATATCTCCTCGCTGCACCCTACTGTTAATTATAACTATCTTAATCGTAGAATTAGGATAAACAGTCGCTGAGTTTTGGTATATAACTCTACTAAACAAAAATAAATATCAGGAGTCTGTTATATTCGAACAACTTCTACAACTAGAGTTTTGAAGAACTGCATATGATCATTTGGCCTGTAGTCTAATCGAAATTCAGCTGTTCCTTCCGAATCTAGAAATCAAGTTTTGCTTTCAATCTGCATGCATATTGGAAGCAATAATTTGCAAGATATAATTTGTCTTCTCTTTTAGGAACTGCATTTTTTATGATTTGCGATGTTTTCGTTACACATACACATGGGATGAAAATCAGTTGCATTCTTGATATCGTTATTCGTTATATGAATTCAAATAGAGAATCAGTGTAGAAATCAATGAAGAATCATTTGTATGGATTTACATGCTATGCCATCCTCTTCCGCATCATTACTATTTTTAATATTTTGCAGAGCTTGGTAAATTTCCTTCTATAATACATCTGGTAGGTATTTTTCGACCTTACATTCTGCACCTTTGGCTTCTGGATCAGTTCTGGTTGGCTTTGATATAATATTTCATAGACAAATTCCACTATATGTAATACGTGTGACCTATCTGAGATTATAATATTGTAGAAATAATCAACTAAAAGCTTAACTAAACTTACCTATACATATCCTTCCAGTATTATCCAATACAGATCCGGGATCACATTCACATTTGTAAGATCCATGTATGTTAACGCATTCTCCGTTAAAGCAAGCCTCCGGTCCCAATTCTCGGCACTCGTCGATGTCTTCACAAACGAAGTTCTTGGGATTCATCTGCGTTCCGGTGGGGCAGATACACTGGAAGCTGCCAGGTGTGTTCCTGCATTGTCCCCCGCTGCACACCTGTACAATTAATCTAACAATTCATAATGGAAAAGGCTTAAACATGCTTAAATTTGTATAGGGACAGTTATATTACGACTAGCAATTCAAAAGTTCGTTATGAATCGAGACATTTACTACAAAAAAAAACACAATACATTATTAACACAATAAATAAATGTAACTTGGAAGATTATAAATGAGAGTCTTTAATTAATTACTAATTTGATATTGACAAGGGAAAAAAACACGATAAAAGTCAGTTTTGAGTCGTACAAACCAATAATAAAATATAAAGTGCGGCGTATCAGCCAAATTACTTGCTAAAACCTTGCCATCTAGCTGCGTGTGGTTCACGGGAGGCTGTAGATAATTTTTAGTCGCTCTATTTAGTATTTTGGTGCCATTTATATTTGTAACTGTTTGATGTGAGACAACAGTAAATGTTTAATTTATTTCTCTAAACCATTTTGTCTATTTATAAAAAAAAAAGTTTATAACCTGTCTTGTGTTTTTTAGGAAAGAAGAGCCTTTTTATTTTATCCAACAGGAAGTTTCCCCGAAGTGGCGTTCTATTTTAAATAGCTAGAGGTTTTTCTTGTTGTTTAGTTTGTCCATTTGTCCAGGAGTTTCATATAAATACTTCCTTGTTTCATTTTTGTAGTTGCCCTAATCCAATCCCATTGCCATTCACTTATCCATGATCATAGTTCTTCAAATAAACCCTGGGCGCCGTTCGCATAAGTTTCGATTTGTTTTGCTTGCCCTTACTCCACGCCAATGATTTCTGTCCCAAATTTTCAAACCCCTATAATAATACCCTATGCGGTAGGTAAAATAATTCTTCGAAATGCAACCACCTATATTTATTTTTTTTAACTACCTGTTCTTAATATCAAGAACTTAATGATTTCATATATCTATACGACCCGTGATTGTACATTCACTTTCATAAGTGTGAAGATCCCTCAATCAAACATAGTCAAAATTATTTAAGAAAAAAAAAAAGAAAATATCTCATTATGACTTTAATGAAAAATGTGATAAAAATGTCCTAATAGAGGTAATGGATTTTAACAGGAGCTATGAGTCATGCCGATGCAGTACACAAATTTACCTGATATTTACAAGATTATAGCTCTTGTTAAAATCCACTACCTATAATACAAAATACTTGACATACAACAATAAAATCATTGTAGAATTTCCTTTACACCCATAGGTTAATTTCCTACTCACCAATTCTTCCACTTCGCACTCATTGATATCCGTACATATTTTCCCAGTCTCGTCCACTTCAAATCCTGGATTGCAAATACATCTGTAGGTCCCTATCATATTTTCACAAGCTCCGTTTTGGCAAATGTTTGGATTCTGGGCACACTCATTGATATCGTTACCGTCAAAAGTGGAACCTAAAAATAATTCAAACAAATATACAAACCGTGTAAAAAATTATGGAAAAGTTCGCAAATTTTTTTCTATTTGCATATATGTACCGGTGCATTAAACTTTAAAAATAATGTTTTATTTAAAATAGTAAATATGATTTCGTTATCCCTTATCAGAGTCATTAAAATATTGTAACGTATAATTAACTGGATTAGTGTAGGTATGGAATATTAATAGTGTACGAAAAAATAATAAATCAAGCCTAATGAATGGTGCTTTGTTTTTAAATATAGGCGTATGAAATATAAATAATATTCCTCAATATTTCCAAAGTTGTTTAATGTCATTGGAGAACTACTGTAAAAAGCTATATTTGAAGCAAACCCGTATTAAAATTAATAGAAACTATCCAATAATCCCCAAAAGGTTATACAAAAATATATTTAGAGGTAATGTTTCCCTATATTTTTCTTTCTCTTTTTCTCTTTCTCTCTGTTCTTCTCTCGTTGGTTTCGCAACCTTCATGTGTCTTTAAAGATATTTAGACTTTATGCTTTTCTCTCTCCCCCTCTATCCCTCTTTCTCTCACTGTCTCTATGTCGCTTCAAAACCTTTCATCTGTCTTTGCTGACTGTACAATATGCCCCATTTATTTTGGCCAATGGGATCTTAGTAGATATACTACAAGAATCTGGGCTCATCTCCTAAATTGCAAAAATGGGGTTGAATGCATTATATGCCGTGCGCATCGGATCATGCCAAAAGGTCATTATTGGGTATCTTCGTTTTTATTGGTCAGATTGGGGCGTACGAGGGCTCGTTGGAACGGGGAGAAGGCGGGGAGACCAAAAACAAAGATGGTGGCGTTGCCAAATGGGCGCCAGAACGTATCTTCGTTGCTATTGGCCTGAGATTTTGACGTATGAGGTGTCAAAGCGTTGGTGACACCACCCTCAATTTTTCATCTTAGCTTCCATTCTTTTGTAGAATCATCTCAAGTATTTTACTGTTTTCATAGGTTACATGCTTTTACATTTAAAAATCACTTATTATCTCTCTCTATGGCCTCTAAGCCTAACATGATTAGTCTTATTTGTAATGAGTTCCAACTCATGCTTATTCGTCCAATCCTGACCAAGAGCTCGTCCTTGCCCTGCGCCTGCACCAGTATAGCGAAATTATCTGCAAAACCTAAGTGGGTAATACTGCCCTCCTCACCTAAAAGGGCGTATCTCACGGAAAGACAACTTTAGGGAATGAGTATTTTAGTAAATCCGCAAACTTCACCCACTCTCATCTTGCTCTCTTCAATCTCTCATGACTTTTTTAAATGCGTCTTTTTTAATAAGTGATTTTAAAGTACTTTGACTTGAGATATGGCTTTTTTTGCTTGGTATATAGATAAAGAAGTTGTTTAAAAATACCATGCCACCAAAATCTCATAAAAAAATTGAGATACGCCCTTTTTGCTTAGGAGGGCAGAATACCCATCTCACGTTCGTGGTGCTTAGCCATTCTTTATCTTTGTTTATTCAAAATAGAAGTGTTGAATTTTATTTTAATTACTTTATTCCGTATAGAGTTAAACAGTTTTGGAGGACCGTTTAAATATAAGCAAGGATAAAAGGCATTCATGCCTGTCTATCATTTTTACTCATTTTTTTTTCGAAATTTCATAAAAACCTCTGATTAGGTATTGCATCTCGACTTTGTTGTAGTAAAATATAAAGGCTAAATAGAAACTTTCTTGTTTCCAATCCATTTCTGCCTACTACTTATCAATGCTTCTAGGTTTTTAAGAATACTGTCATGCATTTTCAGAATATGAAAAAACTTGTGCAGGTATTTTGTCTGATAGCTTTTCATGCTCTTCTTAGTTTTATAATCTCTTTCATCATGTGTGTTAAAATTGGTGATGGGCAACACACTTCTGTTATGCTATGTTGTACGCATTATTTATGATCAAATACTTTTTCTATGTGTTATCCGATTGATGTTGGCTGTTCCAACGTTTTCGTAGCTGCAAAATCCGAGAATACAATGCAAAAAGCCAATAAAATAAACGAAAACGAAGTCAGATCAAGTAAAATATAATATAATCCAAAACACAATAAGTGAGTACGTAATAAGAAATTCAACTAAATTGTATGGACGATGTTGTATGAAAAAAGTATTTATAGCTTATACCTTATTAAAAAAATAAAATGAATTTTGTAACAAAAAGTGTTTAAAATGATATTTTTAAATGTGTCCCATTACAGGCTTATTTTCAAATATAAATCTAGTATTACCTGGACCGTGAGGACATAAGAGATCGAAATCTGTGGTTCCTGGCATCGGACAAGGTTGACACGTGGTACCCCAACCCATAGGTTTTCCAGAAATGATGGTACAACAGCAACAACTCGATTTAGTAACAGCAGTGGTGGATGGATTAAAGCATAGCCCGTCTCTGTATTCTTGATAGCACAGATCTCTTCGGATGTCCAAGCAAGATCTACCGTCAGGGCCTAAACATAGGAAAACGAAATAAAAATATAGTTTGCCAATTAAAAAAGATAAAATCATACATTTGTATGGTCAGATATATTAGTACAAATATTATAAAGAGAATACAAACAATATGTAAGAAAGTTTATACAAAATTGTACACTTGCTTTACGATAGACAACCCATCCTACATGAAAATATTTGTGGGTTATCACACAACCGATAGTAAGGCAATCACTTCTACACCTTTAATAAAACTAAAAGGAAAATATTGAATTTTTAATGATAAATCAATTTTATGTTCTAGTTCTTTGGAAAATCAGTCCTAATTCTTTAATAAATTGCATATTTTAATATTAAGTATTAAATTCTTTATTTTGACAGAGCCATTTGTCTTTCCCTCTTAGTCAAATATAATAATGATGTATTAACGTCTCTTTGGAATAGTCTAGATTAAAACAAAAAAGGTTGTTAAATATTTTTCTTAACCATCAAGTAGATGTGAAAATTATTTTTTTTATTTTCATGTTGCCTACAATACACCTACAAGTCTTGTTTTGATTATGTCCAATAACGTAATAGGTATATGGACCCAGGCAATGGTGGACATAGTGCCATAAACATCATTCACTTTGTTCATTGTTTTGATACGAAGCTGCACGAAACATTCACGATTTTTGACGAAGTTGACACAATCAAAAGATCGTTTTGTTTATATAAACTTCATTGGTTCTGTTTTTCATGATATGGGAAGGGCAAATTTTATTTTAAATTTTTGATGGATATTTACTTGTTTTGTGGATTTTAATATTGGTATCCATGTTTTCTTAGTTTTTAGTCCCTCTTCTATCCGATTAATATAATGTCCTAAACGACAATGGCTTTTATGTTCGTTTATCCTTGTATTGGTGTGTCTTTTCGTAGTTCCCACATATACTATTCCCCATGTACATGGTATTCGGTATACCCCGGCCGTTGTTAGTGGGTCGCGTTTGTCCTTCGTCGATCTTAAACAGTCCTTTGTAGGCTTGATTTTCTTTGTAGGCTTGAAAATGGTCTTTACATTGGCCTTTTTAAATACTCGCCCAATTCTGCCTGTTACCGATATATAGGGTAAGAACGCTTTGTCTATACATGCTGTTTCTTCGTCCTTTCTTCAGGTTTCAAGTTCACTTTCCAAATGCTGGGGTTCACAAATTCTCTTCTCCCTTTCCGTCAGAGTTTTGATGATACCTTGTTTTTGGCCTAAATGATGATTTGAGTTCCCGTTTAGGTATACGTCCGTGTGTGTAGGTTTTCGATACACTTTTTGTTTTAAATAATCTTTCTTTTTATTTACCAGTACATCTAGGAACGCTAGTTTTTGATCTTTCTCTGTTCTGTTTCCATCGTAAATTGAATATTTGGATGTAGTGTATTCATATAAGACAGGAAATCGGTAAGTTTTTCTACTCCGTGACCTCAAATCACAAAAGTGTCATCGACGTATCCAAACCATACCATTGGCTTGTATGCTGACTCCAGTATCCTCTTCTCTAGATGCTCCATGAGAAGGTTACGTGGCTACGACCAGGCTTAGTGGGCTTCCCATTGCTACTCCATTAACCTATTCATAAATATAATCTTCCCACGAAACGTCGAGAAATAATCTTAGAAGACAACGGCCTAACAGCTCAAACAAACATTTTAACAAGTTAGACGATGGCCATGAAAGCCTAACATATTTTCTATATAGGTGTCTTTTTTGTGGTCGTGGAAGTCCGAAGCGCGAAACATTATCACTTATTACGTAAGTAGTTTTTAAAGTTTATATTGTTTTATAATTATTAGGTTATATATTATAGATGTGTTGATGGTCAGGAAAGTTGATTTCCTTTGGACGAAGATAAATAAAGGCATTTTAAAATAAACGACCAAACATTGATGTAGTAAACATTTCATCAATCTCCCAGGGATACGCTTCTATAACACTCGATTATATAGCAATAATAATCGACTGCTGGGTCTATATATTATACGTCATTTGTTACATCTATCTTAAGTTTTAGGCCATGGAAAATTAATAAAAAATAACCTGAAAGTAGAGGCAAAAACTGAAAGCTAAAGAAAGAAAATGAGAGAAATAGTAAAGATAAAGAATCAAAATTACCATACATCTTAAAAAGAACACCAGGCGACAAAAACGAAAATAAATACTGATAAAAATATCAAAATAAAAAAAAAACTTAAATGAAGCAATCCATTTCAAAGCAAGCTCAATTTTTTTATTGTTATTCTCTCTATATTTAACTTATGTTTGTGAAGCTTATACAGAAACCATTTACTTCTTACCTAAACTGAATCCGAGATGACACTCGCATCTAAAGCTACCCGGTGTGTTGTAGCAGTTACCAAACTGGCAAGGATTATTAATGCACTCATCAATATCAGCACAATGTTTACCATCTGGACCAAGACGGTAACCTGGATCGCAAACGCACCTGAAGGAACCCTCCATGTTGATACATTTGCCATGATCACACATACCTAAAAACAGAACATTTTTTATTTGTGCAAAAATAATTTCTTTAATGAATGAATATATTTAAAGACTTGTACCTGTAGATGAGCATTCATCTAGATCAATACAGAACGTACTGTCACTGGATTCAACAAAACCTGGCAAACATGCACAAGCATATGATCCCGCTGTATTTTGGCATCGTCCATTAAGACATATTCTAGGATTCTCATAACATTCATCAATATCTGAAATAAAACAAATTTAAGCACCAGAAAAACATCGTAGAGTTGAAGTAATAGTTTTACCTATACAAGCGTATCCAGTTGGAGACAACTTGAAGCCTGGCTTACACTGACACTTGAAGCTACCGTCCATGTTGATGCAAATGCCGTTGGTGCACATTCCTATTTCAGAACATTCGTCGTGGTCTGTGCACATAGTACCGTCTGGAGTTACATCGAATCCTGGTGGACAAAGGCAGGAAAAACTTCCTGGAAGATTCGTGCAACGGCCGTTGATGCATTTACCCTCTCTGCATTCGTCGATATCTAAAAAAACATAAGCATGCATGTTATTTGTGGGTTTTTAATGTTATTTGTGGGTTTTTAGTAATTTTCACCATCTGTAATGGTCCGTTTCAGATTATATTAAGACAATTATTTACTATAAAAAAGTTGAGCTTTGGCAGCTGTCTTTTATAATCAAAATGAGATGGGTATATTAAGAATAATCAAGAGAGGCTTCGAAAGTTGTAGGTATTATCTAAAACTTTCTGCTTTATACTATATAGGTACCCTTAATCGTCGTTTAGCTTAAAGTGTTCGGTCTAAAGTCTTATTCAAATTACGTGTACAAACTTCCTCCATTATCTTTTTCTTTTTTTCTTTGACAGTTTTTATCTGAAGATCGCGATTCATGAATTCATTGAGCATGTACCACGATGCCTTAATAATAATGCGAAAGGTCTTCGACCTTTCGATTTTGTGGCTTTATCGCCGTATCCTAAAAATACCATGGACAGCGAAAATCACAAATATAGATGTCCTTAAAAGAATAAACCAAGAACGCCAACTTTTCGAAACCATCAAGAAAAGGAAAACGGCATATCTAGGTCACATCATGCGAAATGAAAAATACCAGTTCCTCCAACTTATAATCGAGGGTAAAATTGAAGGCAAGAGAATAATGGGACGCAAGAAAATGTCCTGGCTCCGAAACATAAGGCAATGGACAGGGATTAACGACATACGATCTCTGATACATATTGCAAGAAATAGAGAATTAATGGAAAATGTGATCGCTTACATCCATTAGTGGATTTGCATCTGAAGAAGAAGAAGAAAGGTCTTCGATTGGAATTATTTCGGTATGTCGATATTGGATCCCATAGCTCCATATTGGCTTTATCACTGATTTGTATACTAGCATTACATTGTACAAATTAAGTTGTGATCTTTTTCCTATTAACCATTTTACTGTCAAACCCAACTGTTTTCTTTTCGTGAATATGTGTTTCTTCCACGTTAATCTGCGGTTCAGGTGCATACCTAAGTATTTTACATCATCCTTTTATTCCATTCATTCCGGAAAGATAGGACTTAGGATTAGTTCCGGAAAGGAGGATTAGAAAGTAGTTGAGAGGAAGGACTTGTCTTATTTTGTATAGCAGACCAGTGTGTCAGACTTCATCAAAAGCCTGCGAGATATCCAAAAAGGCTACAGAACAGTATTTCTTCTCTTCTAAGGTTTTGTTTATGGAATTGCAGATTTGGTGAATTTGGTCAATGGTAGCATGCTGTTATCTAAATCCAAACTGGTGGTTGGGTATTACCTGCTGTTGTAATAGGATTGGCTGTAATCTATCTAGTAGTAGTTTTACAGAAACTTTTGACATCACTGAAAGTAAACTGATAGGTCTATAGGACTTAACTTCTTCTACAGGTTTGTCTAGTTTGTAGCCAGTTTTTAGGATTGTGTTAAAAATCTGTGTTAAATATTGCACTCCTCTTTTGGGAAGTTCTTTTAGCATGCATGCAGTGATTAAGTTGAACCCTGTGGATTTAGATCTGTTTGGATTTTGTTGAAAACTTGTTTGGCAGTAAATTTCTCCAATGATGCTTCTAGTTGGTATGGAGATTCTAATATTATCTTCTGGGGAAGATAATATACAATCGTATTTAGAGACATGCGTTATATCTAAAATAAATGCATTTGACATCATCCTTCATCTTCAAGTGTGTACTTTGGTATTTTGGAATTTTTTACTTGCCTGTTTCTGCTCATTTTAACCATATGGTTATATTATCTCAACTAGGTTTCTTTAATATTTATTTTTCGATTGATTGTTCTTTAAGACGTTTTCTTGTGAACTACACTTCACTCTATTTATTTCCACTTCTTGGGAACCCAGAACCCTTCAATTAAACTCCTAAATATGTAAAGGCCTTGACTTCCAAAAGTTCCAATGTGTCGTTACTGAGAATTAAATAGTCTTCTTAAATAAAGATGTTAATAATATGCTTTGTTTTGGATGAACTCTTAATATAGGCACTACTGTGGTCTGTATACAGACACTTGACAAGTTTGATCGTGTAATGTAGAGCAGATAAAAGAATCTTTCTCTTCAAGTGCCCTGCCGTTGCCAACGTTGGCTAATAACATGGCAATTCTGATCTTGTTCGAGGGGCTTTAAAACAGCTTGACCGATTTGAGTACGAACCACTTCCACAGATTTTGGAGCCACGAATGTCTTCTCCTGCCTAGCTCTCGCTTATTGTCTATCTCTTACTCAGAAAAAAGAATCATATTAAATATATACCATAACAAATTGTGTAAAACTGCCTAACTTACCTTCACAAATATTGTTGTGATTTAGTCTGTAGCCAGGGTCACACAAACAATCATATCCTTGAATAGTATCCACACACTTTCCTTGTCCGCAAATATCAGGTCTTAAAATACACTCGTTCACACTGATTTGCCCTACTTGGTTACTTCCTGGTATCACTCCTGGTGTTATGTCAATCGTAGCACCACCTGGTTGTAGAGGATGTGTAGGATGAGCTTCACACAGTCGACGATGTTCATCTGAAAATCAGTATAGAATTTATTTATTGTGTATCTTTTAATTGTGTATAATTTTTAGATATTATTTCTTGCACCTTTCCATTGAGGCATATATATTACACGTGAGAAATAATATTTATAATCGTTTTTTTTCCAAAAAGACTTATAAGATGATATTAGTGGAACATACAGTTTATAGTTACAGACCTGAGGAGCTAGCTGTATTAAAATTTAGTTGGAAAATCCACAATAAGGTGAAATCTAAACGTGTAATAAAAAATGTAACTACATGCCAATCAAAAGCATTTAAAATAAAACAAAACGTCGCTGGGATAATCTTTAAATTCTTGGTCTTCTATTTAGTAGGTATCATCTTAAATAAAATGGTAAAAACACTACGTGAACCAGCGTCTCTACACTAACCGGTTTAATCTATAAAGTCTAATTTTCAAACCAAATAAGCAAAAAAATCTTTTATCGTCGTATTATGAGAAATTATACTGTAAATAATTATGAAAGTCCTTACAGGTCTTCCTGCCTTCGAATAATAACCGTGTATAAAGTTGCCTAACACCTAGGAAGCAGTTTTAGATTCTTTCTCATAGTAGAACAAATTCTTTCGAGTTGGCGTGGCAGTGCGTCGTGGGTTATCTACGAACTACATTAAAGCTAAAAGAACGCAACAACAGTGTTCAAATTTTTGAACGTGCGAAAAATGCATTCACTTGATTGAATGAAATGCATGAAATATAATAAATAGAAAAGTTGATTATAAGATTATAAAATGAAGGAAAACGACGAAATATGATGTTTGATATTTTACAGATTCTTAAATGTTGTTTTCATAGACAACTCACCATACACCGCCACTATTCCTTAACAGGGCGAATACCCGTCAAAAATTATCTTGCTACGAGGGGAACCTTGAAAGTAAAAATATTTGGGAAAAACAGAGAGTTTTTAAATTGAAATGTCTCAAACGATGTATGTATATATTACATTAATCGAATGCTGATACATTAAGTGAAATGGAAATGTAATGACATAGATATAAGCTCGGTTTCATGAATGGATAACGCACAATGAGAAATTGAATAGCAAAGACAACAAAACGCGTGAAGCTGAGTTGAAAAGTGTAGTAAAACAAGCGACCAAAATATCATATAAAAGTAGAAATCAGCAACTTAAGTGTTAAAATGAGTGTGTTCTACAAAAGATGATGAGTGATTTACATTTAAATATTTTATTTACCTTCTCCATATTCAGGACATGGAGCACACTCTTCTCCGGTATACATTGCCCATCCTTGACCCATATTAACACCGCAACAGCAGTCTTTTTTGGACAGTCTGAACTGTAGGTTATTACTACAACGTCCTTGTGGGGATCTTTGCGTGTAACACAGGCCTTGGCGACCATCTAAAATTAATTTTATAAAATCATGACTCGTAATTATGCAGTGAAATAGTTCAAATGATTATGATACTCACCAATACAGTATGTCTTATCTTGACTCTGGATAAATCCAGGATTACAAAGACAGATAAAACCACCATTGGTGTTAATACATCTACCATCTTGACACACATCTTCCTCTTCGCATTCATTTTTATCTTCACAACTGTTTGTAGCGGGATTCCTGGTTTGACCGGGTGGGCATTCACAAGTAAAGGATCCTACTGAGTTGACACAAGAACCGCCTTGACAAAGGTGAGGAATTGCTTCACATTCGTTTATATCTAAAATAGTTATATATTTATTAAAATTAAATAAAAGTATTATTCCATGATTGTAGGTTGGGAACTCTTGCAAGTTACTCTGCAAATTAGTTAGATTTTTCAGATCCTAAATGGACCCTGCTAAAGTGGTGTTATCGCTTATATTGGTCGTTTATTTCCTTATATTTTGTAAGGCAATATTATGTATTTTATGTATTTCTCAAGCAGTTCTTTTATTTTTTGTTGTAAATATTAGTAGCCTATTGGATCAGTTAAAAATTGAACAATCAGCTTCTAGTTAATCCTTTTCTTTTGGTTCTACATTTAATATTTGTTTTGATATGACTCTATTGTTCTCTCCATTTGGTTTTCTATTACACAGTGGTGTTTTGGTGGTTTCTTTTCCATATTTGACTTATACTTAATTTTATAATGATTGGATTGTGATCTGATTGTAGATCAAGATATATTTCAATAGTGTTATAAATATCTCATCCATTTCTGGTCACGGTAAAATCTAGCAGGGTTGGATCAGGTGACTATTAAGTACGTTTTTCTCTTGAAACATGCTTAAGGTTGTTCTGATTTATAATATTTATTAAGTTGTTTTCCTTTAACTGTTATTAGTCGCCATCGCCAGCTTATATGTTAGGTATTACAGTCGTCAACATAGCAACTATTTAGTTTCTAGTGTCATCCTGTAGAAGTAATTAAGGAAACAGTAGCGAAAGTAGTATAATAGAAGTAAATCTTATTATAGTCTTACCTACACACTCCCCAGTTTTGAGGTTTTTCAAATAACCAGTTTCACAGTCTAACCTGGAAGGACAATGTTGACAAGGATGTCCCCATGCTTTTCCTACTGTGGCGCAGCATAAAGTCTTGGTGCAGACTACTCCTTCTAGTTGATTCACGCAAAGATTTCCTCTATATCCAGTATAGCACGGTCCCGTCCTGTAATCTGTATTAAATATTTAAATTTAATCGATATTACCGAACATGATAAATACTAAATTCTAGAGAACACTGCGATGGGGACGTTAAAGGGAAACCACCCAATTACACTCCCTAGTAAAGGCACCATGACATTGATTATTCGAAATGAATAATATTATTGATCAAGGACTGCGGAACTTAAGATCTGAGAGGAAAAGAAATACACAATTAAACCACAGTGCTTTCAAGGTCGCTAGCCAGCAAAATCCCTGTAAACAAAATATCACCAGACAAAATATGAAAATAAAGAAATCATATGGAATCGCTACATGGAAGGTAGCAACTTTTTATAAAGCTGGTAAGCTGAGAAATGGACAAAAAAGTATGTATCAATATAATGGTGGTGAATAAAACAAGATGGCTAACTACAGGAAATTGCATAGCAAACTAATACGCCGTTTATCTTTTTGGAAACCAAGACCATATGCATCCATAGAAATGGAACATAAATAATTATAAAATAGCATTTTAGCAAGAACGTCAGTAAGGTCATCACAATTTCAGATAAAGTAATTTTAATACAGCCAAACTTGTAAATATAAATATAATCCAAGTTTCAACCTTCCCAGATCAAATACCAGATCAAAAAAATTGAAGAACTACAAGATCAAATGGAAGAAGTGTTAAAAATAATCGTGAGAGATTACGCAAAACGTCACCGGAAACTTTGGCTTGGAAGCAAGAAATCAAATAGATGAGCATCTAATCGAATTCTGTCAAGAAAACAACTTCGCCATTACAAATATCTCATTTTAATTTCCAGAAAGGCACGGAAAAAGGCAAAAAGTACACGTGGAAAATCCTTCAAGATGAATAACCATTTAGGATAGTATATAATAAAATAAGCCACACATTTTGAAACATTTAAGTGATGAAATAATAAAGCCAACTAAGGCTAGTAGGATACATTTTAATCACTTTAGAAAACCATCTACCCCGCCTGGTAATACAAGGAAAAGTGAATGGAAAGATATGGACTGGTTGACAGAAACTTTTTGACAAAAGAATGATTTTACGCAGTAGCTAATAGAGAAAGGATTCAAAAAATTATGACATAATGATGGCCAACATCTGAATATGGACGCGGCACCTAAAGAAAAAGATAGGTAAGAAACAATGATTATTACAGAGATCTTAAAATAAAAATCATCGAGTACGATACAAATAACTTTATAAGAAGATATAAAGATATTGTACATTATCATATTAACCTGAAGACAACATAAATCGTCTATAATAATGAATAAAAACATAAGTGATTGGACAAACTTCGATACCCATGCACTCCCTAGAGCCACACAAAATCCAGAGGAATATGACAGAATTGTTGTCAACATCCACTAATTGGATAGGGCACCATAAGAAGAAGAATAAAGAATTAGTAATTAAACGTTAACAGAATTTTTAGAACTGTTAATTTATGAATTAAAAAAAAAAAAAAAATTAGAAGCTGTAGAAATGGATGTGTTTCGAAGATCGTTAGGTATATCCCGCAGGGAAAGAGTTCGAAATGAGGAAGTAAGACGAAGAATTGGAATAGATGGATACTTGATGGATAACATGGACTTGATGGATAAGATGGATAACAACAGACATTGAGAGGAAACAGTTGATTTGGTATGGTCATGTTCAAAGAATGGAAGACACAAGACTACCCAAGAAGATTATGCAGTGGGTACCACCAAACCGCAAAAAACGAGGAAGACCCAAGAAGACATGGAAAGAAGGGGTAACTAAAGCAATGAGTACAAGAGATCTTAGAGACGGCCAATGGGATGATAGAAGGACGTGGAAGTTAGGCATCGGACAACGTCGAAAGACGTTCTAAAACCGATATATATATATATATATATATATATATATATATATATATATATATATATATATATATATATATACAATTTATGAATTATAAAAAAATTAAAAATCCGATTGGGATTCGACAATAGAGCAATTTTTATTAAATCATTCCATTTAAAAGACAGTTGAACAGAGAAAATCAAAGGACCATAATCCTAGAATGTGTATAGTGGTACTCATGAAAATTTGATTGGTCAAGCTTATAAAAATTTGATTTTGATAAATTTGATTTATCTATGAAAACTGTGATATAAGGATACTTATTTTTTCTTAAGATGATAGGTAGACATCTAGTAGAAGATATAAGTAGGTAATGTACGCTAGCAGAAAGTGAGTAGGGTACAAAACTATATGACAATGGATGTTAAACTACATTGCTTACCTATTTCACAGTGATTTCCCGAAAAACCGTAAAAGCAGGCACATCTATCAGGTCCAATACATCTACCGCCATTTTTACACTGTTCTTCACAAATAGCTATAAAGAGAAATTTAGTTGTTTATGATTAGTACTGCAAAAATATCAATAAACATATTTACGTTCTGTGCAGAATTCTCCACTATAACCGGCTGAACAGACGCACTTTCCATCTACACATGATCCGCCGTTCATGCAAATCGCTCTACAAGATTTTCCATCGAGACCTAAAAATAACATACATGAATATAATTATCTAAGTAGTATGCTATAACATACCTTGTATTTGCTTTGATCCAGGTCCACAAGTAGAAGATCTTTGGCCTCCTTCACAAAGACATACGTTAGGCGAAACGCACTGACCATATCCACAACTTCTCGAACAAACCGCTGAAAATATATTGTATAAAATATTTGTAGATGTACGATAAATGGTTTCTTACGTAATATACAAAGTCCTATAATATTGTGCCTTTGCCATCCTGGACAACAGTAACTCCTCGTTCGTGATCGGCATACGTTTGGTCTGTAACAAAAAAGAAACGTTTTAGCTACACTATATTATTTTTGTCTAAATGATTTCTATCAACAACAACAATACAGGCCTACATTTATTTTCATGAAAAAGTGTTTTAAATTTGGTAGGTGTCCTATAAATAGGTGGGTGTAAATATGGTAATATAATAATAGTGTCCTATGGTTAAAGTTAAAAGTTATAAAGTTATAAAGTTTATAAAGTATAAAGTTTTTTCCAGAACGTCAGTTTTTCAACAAAAGCGTGTTTGAAATTTTTCTTAGAAACTGACAAAAATACAGAGAAAATATTTATTGAAACTTTATTTATTACAAAATTACACTACACTACTAAGTTGTTCTTAAAAAATGAATTCAGTGTAACCTACGTTAGACAATATTTGGTTTTTTTTGAATAAAACCGTTCTTTTTCCATAAAAACTGCGTTTTGTCTTTTTTATTGGATTTTTGTACTCGAGTTTCTTCAAGATCCAGCAGTAATCAATCATCGTGCTTATATCCCATCTTGCTTGGTAACGTCTTTCCATCGCCTTTATATCTTGATGGAACCTCTCCTCCTGCTCCTCGCTGGTAGCTCCAAGATTTTCGGGAAAATAGTCGATGAGGAAATCCAGAAAATGAAGTTTGACGCTATATTGCATCTCAGTTTTTTATAATTTGCGACCATGTAAGCTATAACTTCTGTATAGTTTGGAGACTTTTTGTTTACAAGAAATCCGTCTATGACTGCTGCGAATAACTCCATGCTTCAAATGCATCTTGAGTCATTGTACTCTGGAGCAATCTGTACGATTTTAAGGATCAAATTTGAGGCCTACAAAAATTTATTCTTTAAGTTTAGTTTTAGAAAGTGTAGGAAATTTGTCGCACATATATTTAAAGTAGTCACTTTATTTATTTCAAGCTTTGACAAACTGGTTCATCAACTTTATGAGAAGAGGAGGCAAAAGAACTAATTTTGGGTCAATTAGTGTATCACATCTGACCCAAAAGCATGGATATTATTTTGAGACCTCTACAGAGTTCTAGCTAGCCAACAATATTCGCTATACTTTATTTTATTTAGCAACAGTTCAAGATTCTCATATGTTTCTTTAAGATGCACGGAATCACAAACAGGCACTGAGGCAAAAAGTATTACCTTTGTGCAGCAAGACACCCTTCAGACTTCCCTTAAAAGAATTAATAAATAACCACCATAATGTAGAATCGTAATTGTCAGCTCTCAGTTTTATAAATATTTCAGAAATATTATGACAAACACCAGTCAGCTCTCTTGTGAAAAATATTCCGTGAGCTCTTTTTCACGATGCCTACACCACGAAAATCTGATACTTTCAGTCACGATCCTAAGATTTATGCAGCTTCCTTCGATAGACCCAAGTTACTCATTTAATTTAACTTGGATAACCGTTTGAGGTTGGTCTATCTCAGGATTGTATTCGTCTTCATTGTTTATTTTTCGTCTGAAAGTTCATCTGATGATTGCTATTGGATGGTGTGAAGAAAAGGTGGAGGAATAGGGATTCCTGGTCCATGAGAAACAGGTCGTTTAGCAGAAGATAAATCAGTATATTAAATTTTGTGTTTATTTTTTGAATTGAAACCCTTTATATCCCAGGAGCAAAAGTAGCAGTCGTCCTATCGTTTTTTGGTCCCCATCATATCATAGGAATGCGGAAGCGTAAAGAGTTACATGAACCTTTTGTTCATTTTCTCAGTAGTTCGACACACTTAAACCAAACTGTGTATGGAGCCCAAGATTTGTCCTGATCACCAAACATAGTAAGTGTGAGAAGTTTTTCTTATAGTCTGTTATGTTTCGTTGATGCATTCCTATTGTTAAATCACCACCTCCTCCGCAGTCTTAATCCCTTTTGGCATGCGGTGATACCATCAGGCCTTCACAGTTTTTTCACGATTTCCCTCCATCCTTCTCTGTCCTGGGCTAGTTGTTCGGCTTCATGTAACCCTTGTAAATCACCACACACCTAACAAAATATATTAGGAAGGTTTTTACACTTTCTTGATGACATTCGATGGCTCTGAAAATATTTAAAATATAGTTTAAAATATAAGCAGAGAAAGAAGATAGTTTTAACTTCTTTCTAGAAAGTATGGTAATGTATGTTAAGGGTTATTTTTAAATGCTGTCTGTTGATAAACACATGAGTTTAAGTCTTCTAAAATTTTATCCCAAAAAGTTGTAGCTGAAAAATTAAGAAAAAGACTAATTTCTTCTATGATAACGATTATGAAGAGACGATTACTAACTGGATAGAAATCATAACTAGATATTTGTACATTTTCTAATAAATATGGTTAAAAAATGGTGAACATATCTCGTTATCGGCAAACTGTGGTAATAAATTACAATAAAGGTCAAGCCGCAAGAGACCTCTCCTACTAAAATATAAGGAATCATCATCCAACTGTCATCCAACCCCATCAGGAAGAGAGAAATATAGTGGAATTTAAACTAGTATTAACCATATAAATTTTATTATAATATACAAGTCGGTAACAAAGAACAACGTGTTATGGACAGGTTTTAGAAAACAGTAAAACATCTGGTTACTTACAATGAATTTACCACAGAACCGTGAAAAGCACCAAATAATCGCCATGAGCTTCATCAGGCTACAAATAGAAGTAAACATTAACGAAAAATATATAAGAATCGTAAGGTATGTAAGAAGCAGCCACAGTCAAGATTCCATCGAATCAAAATAGCAGTGAACATGTTAAAAAAAATAAGAACTAGAAAAAGGGTAAAGTTTATAATATATTTATTTACCATACTTTCATAAATTTATGAAAATTCCTTGTACAAATCACATTTGTTAGCCAAAGCGCTAGTTTTTTCAGTATTGAGTTCATAACGGTACTCAGTACCTATATTCACTTAGTAAAATAAGGCCTTTAGGCCTGCTGCGAGAGTTATTGTTTATATACCCATTATTTTCATCTTTTCTAACTTTTTACGTAGTCGAACAATGTGCCATTAGTGTTTGTTAAAGTTCTAAGAAGTTAATATCTAGAGGTAGGATAAAATATGTTTTACTCCGGATTCCGTGATTATTGTTACAAAATATCTTTGAGTCTATATACAAAAATTATATTATTGAACATAACTTCCACCGGACTCCAAATGATTACAAACAAGAAAATCTCTGATCCGCATATCACGAATTATCTCTGATTATTTTTAAATTTAGAAAATTTATGGATTGATTCTGTTCTGTTTCTATTGTAAATTTAGTATAACTATGGGATAATCTAATATACAATAGGAATTGGTCAAGTCGCCTAGTAGTTTCTGTAAAACATACCAGTACATCGTCTGTGTATCTCCACCAATATAAAAATTGTCACAATAAGGGATGTTTTGAAATTATTCTTTCTAGATGAACCATCATCATCATCATTTTGGCTTTTCTACAGCGCTTTTCATCGATGGGTCTGAAATTGCAGGCCTGAAACACAATCCAAAAGATTGTCCCACATCTTACCGTCCTATTTCCCTCACCTATAGCATGTATGTAAACTTCTCGAGAAGATTTTAAATAATAATTTTTTAATAAGACACATTCTAGATATGGTATCTAGAAAATTAAAATCTCCTGACCACAGTCCAAAGTGGTTTTCGACGAGGAAGATCTGCTAACGACAACTTAGTGGCGCTTAAGTCAACCATTCATGATGCATTTTTACTAGATCAGAAAGTTATAGTAGTCTTTTTTGATGTGAATAAAACTTTCGACACAACATGGAGATACCTCATAAACTTGATAAATGGGGAGTACAAGAACATATGCTTGCGTTTAAAAAAAACTTTCTGAATAAAAGGGAAATAAAACTAACAGTAAATGGATACACCTCTACCACTAGAATACTCAACAACGGTGTTCCACAAGGTTCTATTTTAAGCCCGACTTTATTTTTAATTGCATTTAACGATGTAATAAACACAATTAAGCCTTCTATAAAAACAAACTTTTACGCTGATGATGTCGTTGTCTATATCAAATGCAAAAATATTACATCTGGGGCTAAACCACTAAAGAACCTTCTATACAAAATCGAAGAATGGTCTTCCAAAACAGGCTTCCCTTTGTTAACTAATAAGACACATTACACAGTATTGAGCAAACGCAAGAATACCACTCCTGTTTAGTTAATATTTAACGGTCAAAATATATCTCATTCAGAGAAATCGAATTTTTTGGGCCTAACGTTTGATTACAAATTATACTGGAAAACTCACATTACGAATTAACAACTAACTTGTCAAAATAAAATAAACTTGCTGAAAATTTTATCCAGTAATATATGGGGAGCTGATTCTTGCATTATGCTTAACTTCTACAAATCAATTATTCGCAGTAAACTGGATTACGGTGTAAATTACTACGATACAGCAAATAAAACGTTCCTAAAAACGTTAACACAATTCAAACAACATCTCTAAGATTACTACAGATTACTACATCTACTTAGTTTAAATTATGCAGCAAGAATATCTTATAATAAAAAGCACCCATTATATTCTGAGATTATTAACGCACCTACATCCAATTTGCATAGAAACAAAAAATATAAAGATAAACCCTTTAGGGAAAGAATCAATGAAAAAGGATTCAATTCCAATGAATTGAAATTATCCATAACCACAAAATTAGACTTCCCTTCATGGCTTACCCCCTTACCTATCACCAATTTAGCTTTAACACAGTACCCAAAAAATACGACAAATCCTAACCTTATTATTAATGCATTCAAAGAAATTATAGAGAAGTATCCAAATCACTACATAATATACACAGATGCATCAAAAACTGAAAATGGCCATGCCACAGCCTTCCCAATTCAACAGCACTGCAGCATTTATACCGGGGAAACCACAACGATATTAGAAGCTATCGAAAATTTCTCTTCAACGACTGAAAATAATATTTTAATCATCACAGATTCACTCAGCGCAATTCATTGAATTAATTAACATTTCCTTAGCCATCCTATTGCACAAAATATAAGAAATGAACTTAATG